TGTTGGATTGACTTATATATTAACTTAAAAATATAAAATAGAGCATTCTTGTACGAAAATTGGGATGAAGTTCAATAATTAAAAAAAGCTCACATGGGTGAGATTAGCCAATACAAGGCTAAGCTTATAATATCAGGAATATGATTTGTCTAGCCCAATAGAGAAACAATCAAAATGAAATGAAGACATTTGACTCGTACGACTGACGCTTGTAAATATAAGTATATGTACATTTTATTGAATTTTCTGGTATTTATTAGTATTGACCATTCTTGAAAGGGAAGCATTGGGTCTGCAGTTTTTGTTTCGTAATATCCATTTGCGGAACAATCAAATGTATAATGATGTTGAAATAGAACATCAAATCTTTTGGGCACGGACGACTTGATTTGTCTTTGATGGAATGGTCCCGTTCGTCCTCCGAGTCATGTCACTCATCACGTGGGGAGGAGGGGAAGCCAGGGTGAAAAGAGACTTTTTATTTTATTATCATTTTTTAAGTGCCCTTTTTCTTCTACAAAGTCGATGTTACGTCGTAACTTTGCGATTATTGTTTTTTTTTTTTTAATGACAAAGTAAGAATTGCCTTTTTCCCACAACTCTTACGACTCGAATCCCTCAAAAAAAAAAAAAAAAAAAAATCTACAAATGTTCGATGTTTACGTCGTTAACTTTGCCGATTATTTTTTTTTTTTTTTTTTAATAGACAGAAGTAAAAATCTGCCTTTTTCCCACAAACTCTTAACGGGTTACTCTGAATATCCCTCAAAAAAATTAAAAAAATATAAATAAATGAAGTTGTTTTGATTAATTAAAAAAAAAAAAAAAAAAAAAAATGAAGTTGTTTGAATTAATTGGAATTTGAATTATGACATTTAAATATTCTTTCTATATATGTATTAAATTGTTTGATTTAATTATAAACAGTCTATTGTCTATCTTAAATTGATAAATTATATCAATTCAGATGACTTTTTTTTTTTATTTATTTATTTCATGAAATATGAATTTTCTGTGAATTTCAAAATCTTTAAAAATTTCAAATCTATTAAAAAATATCTATATTTGTCCACTAAATTAATCCTATGGGCTATATCGGTGGCAAAGAACCTCTCTTTCGATAGAATATGGGTGGAATCAGACTGTTTGCAAATTGTTCAAATGTTTGCCTCTAAAAAGCTCCCACAAACAGAGATGGGAACTCATCTATGGACAACCAAGTCACTGGCTTCCCTTTTTTCATTGTTTTCTTTTGATTATGTTGGTAGGAACTGTAATAAGCCTGCACATCACCTTCCTAAAGAGGCTGTGGTATTTGGATTGAGAACTGCCCCGGTTCAGTCCAATTTTTGGTGTTTGAAGACTTTGTTTCTCCTTAATAATATTGCTATATTTTCCCTAAAAAATAAGAAAATAATAAGTTAATCTGTATCAAAATACTAATACAAGGAAATATTAAAAAATAAAGTAAAACTTAGAATTTTACTATATATATTAACTAAATTTTATTAATCTGTGTACAATTCAAATATGATAAAAATTAAAAGATGGAAGAGTAATTTTTTTATAAAATATAATCCGAATGGAGTATTTCAGGTTAATCACCATGACTTAAGTCATGAATTCAATCATCTGTAAATACAAAAATATATTCCAAAAGTTACTTCTTCATGTTTAAATTATATTTCACAGTAATATATTTTTGAATGATTTAGCCAAGTTTTGTTATTTTCTTGTCTTAATAACCAACCAAGGTGATAAGGGGAAAAGAAAAGAAAACGTTTCCCATATGAAAACAAGTCAATGTCATCCGACAAAAAATCCGTGATTTGACCATGTTTGCTATATAAAATTTCATGAAATTTATTGTAAATTTTACATTTACCGTGAATCATAAAAAAATATTTATTTCACTCAATTAAATAATTTATTTTTCTAGCACTATTTACTCTCAATTTTCAATAAAACAAAATAATGAATAGCTTTAGGAGTGTTCTTTTTTTTTTTTTTTTTTTTTTTTTTTTTATTTACTCTCAATTTTTCAAATAAAACAAAATAATGAATAAGGCTTTTAGAAAGTGTCTTTTTTTTTTTTTTTTTTTTTTTTTTTTTTTTTTGAATTTTTTTTTTTTTTTTTTTTTTTTTTTTTTGAAGAATAGCTTTAGGAGTGTTAAAATTCACTTTAATTCAATTTTATGAATATATTCATTTAAAATTTTTAAATCAACACGAACTTTGTAGGATATATCTAATTTGTCTATTGTTTAAAAGAATTAATATACTATTAATTATATAATATTTAAATAAATTAAACTATTTTTAACTAAAAAAATTATAAAAAATAGTCAATCATTTTAAAACTCTTCATTGAGCAATAATTAAAATTCAAATTTATTTATTAAAAATATTTTAAGCAAATCTAACAAGTTTGAAATAAGATATCCAAACAACATAACCTCTATTCTCTAATATGTTTATAAAATTAATTTATTGATTTAATTGTGAAATAAATTTCACCTTTAATAATCAAAATCAACCCAAATTATCATTTTTGTAAAATCGTGATTTTATTTCCGGTTCGAATGAGTTTGGACGCTGATTTTATTCAGAGGGCAATTGTGTAAATAAGCATAGAGCACGAGTGGAGTGTGATGTGATGAATGCTCGATAAGACGCGAGAGTCCTATATTATATTTCCCTTAATACTTATCCAGTTGCCAGCTAGGCAGCGGGCGGTCAGCGTCTAAGGGAGCCGTGATGTCTGGGTCACGGCGTCACGCTCGCTGAGTCAAAGTCCTTCTTTTCCTTTTTTTTTTTTTTTTTTTTTTTTTTTTTTTTTTTTTTTTTTTTTCTTCTTTTTATCTCCGTTAATGGAGTTATTGTTTTACCAATAATTTAACTAAATAAGTAAAAACAACAGTTTCATTAAATTAAATGATAAATAGCTTTAATAGATGTAATTTTTTTGGGCGAACAAACTTATCTCTTACCTTATGCTTTTACCAGCTGTCATTTTTTTATTTGAGCTAGCAAGTCATTTTTTTTTTTTTTTTTTTTTCTTCTTTTTACTCCGTTAATATTATGTTTTACAATAATTTAACTAAAAAGTAAAAACACAGTTTTATTAAATTAAATGATAAATATTTAATAGAGTATTTTTTTGGGGAACAAACCTACCTTACCTTACCTTTTACCCAGCTGTCATTTATTAGCACACAGTTCATCTCATCATCCACTTCTTCCATGTTTCTGACAATATAAATTAATTATTTAGTTATATATATATATATAATATAACTGCTAAACAAACAACCCTTTAGTTGGTCCAACATGGACCTGGACTTTATAATGGTAGTCCTTCATTTACTCCAGCTGACTTTCACGTATTCGGGCAATATTCCATTTTGCTCCTTCCTCAGAATTTCGCTTGTAATTGCATTCTGACAAGTGAAAAATGAAATTTGTATATTCACCACATTGAAAAGTTTTTACATTGAAAATTTCAAAAAAAAAAAAAAAATTTATGATTTAATCCTTATCAAAGCCTACATCCACTTCATCGATACCATTTCTTAATCATTAACATTAAAAAAATTAAACCTAAACAAGATGACCCCTAATGCTTCTTATTCATTGGAAGAGAGAGATACAATTAATCAAGTTATTCAAACTAGTAAAGCTTTGTTTGGTGGACTTTTATTTATTTATTTATTTGTTTTTTGTTTTTTCCTTTTCATTACTGTGAAATGGAAAAAATATATATAAAAAGAAGCCTAAAGTATTGGTCCAATTATTTTTCTAAGAAGAAGCTAATTTGCTAACAAAGAGTGGGTGAGTGGATTAAATTAATAAAGAAATAAATAAATAAAAGGTTAAAAATGTGACATTCCACTAGTGCTAGGTTGGAGTTGCATTCATACATATGATTTGGAAGGGCATAAACTCTACATTTGACCTAACTTTGTCTATTGGGGTGTAAAGAAAGAAACCAATGATAGGTATTGCAATTGAGGAAGTTAGTGGAGGAGGATAATGTTATTTATTCATACCTTAAACCACAAAACCAAAACTACCCCTTATCTTCTTTTTTATATACAATTTTCTCACGTGATTTCATTATATCTCTAGCCTATATTGACCTTGGAACCGTGTGTTTATTTTGAAGAAAAAAAAAAAATATATAAAATAATAAAAATGGATCTTGATAATTTCTGTTCCCCTTACCAAGAAAGTGACCAAAATTGACATTGATAGGCTTTAATATAAATGACATTGCCATCCTCCGCTGCCATATTTTTCATTTTCAGTCATGTCAACGAAGACCCACTAACAAACTTTAAGGAAGTCCCATTCCATTAGTTGGTAAGTTCAAGCTAATTTCGCAGTAAGATCGTCTGGATATGATTTGTCCTCTGCCATTATTATCTCCTGTCTTTTGCCATAAATAAGAATAAGAATGAGAAATTTTAAATTTGAGTTCTTTAGTCTATAATATTATTTTAATTAATTAAATTTTTTATAAATAAAAAAATTAATAAATTTATATTTATAATCTTATATTAAAATAAAAAAATTTTAAAAATGAAAATTTTTGCAAATAAACCTTCCTCACCCTTTCTCCGGCAAAACGTTTCTATTTCGACGCCAATTTTCTTGAATGGAAAAAAAAAATCTCCACCCCATCCCAACCTACCCCATAGTCATTCCTAACCGACGTCGTATGCTAGATTAATGATAGGCCTTTTAGTTTCAATATTACATCAAAACGCTATATTATAAGTATTATACAAAAAAAGGATAAACTCGAAAAATAAAAAGGAGAGTAGAGGTTAGTTTGGTAAATGGAAGAGGGAGGAAGTTGAAAACCGGAAACGTGATCCAAAAAGAAAACCAGAGTTAAAATCTAACTGGACTTGATAGTTGGGATAGTTGAGTCGACTCTATCTCTATCCAACACGAATCCGTCTCATATATATACATTTCCTTTTCCCACATTCTCATATTTCCTTTTTTTTCCCTTGTCATTTCACTAACCATTATTTCTTTCTTTTGTTATCTGCTGTTCTCTTTCTCTCCTTCTCTTTTGAAAATCCAACACAGCTTCCATTTCCTATCTCTTTAACAACCTTTTTTGTAGATTTTTTTTTCTCTTCTTTTTTTGTACCTCTTAAACACGCCAAAGACGCCGGATTCTATCCTAACAACACTTATTCAGTCACCGGATAACTAACCTTGAGGTAAGTCTCGAATTTCGCCCGTTGAACCTTATCTTTATCTTATCTTTGATTTTGCTGCTTATTTTCTGTTTGGTTGCCGTGAAAATGCCGGAGATGTAGAGGAGCGACATATTTTCTTTTATTTATTTGAATTGCTGTTCAGTGTTTTTTCGGCAACTAAACTGGGAAAAAGGTTGATCATTTCATACGATATTGGTTTCAATATCGTTTGAGACTTTTATTTGTTTATCAAAGTTATTGAAGATTATCGTTTATCCATTATCAATTATTTTAACGAGTTAAGATCTAGAAATTCAGTTGTATTGTGTGACACGGGCTGTGAATCGCGAGGCTATTATAAATCTGACGTTCTTTATATTGCAAACTTGTTTCATTCCTATTAAAAAAGAAGAAAAGAAAAGAGGGAAAAAAAAAAAGGTTCTGGTTCATAGTTTGGTTTCGAAGCAAATTAAGATTTTCATTAGGAAATATGTTCATACGTTTACTTTCAAAAATTAAAAGTGAATTGAATTGTGTTTCTCCAGTTTGATATGAGTGGATTGACTTGAAATTACCAGTGATAATCAGAATCTAAGAGGAAAATGGAAAAAAAAAAAAAAATTTGAAAAGAGAAGTGGAAAGTTGAGATATGAAATAAGTTGTATTCCGGAAACTATAAGGCCCAATATCTCAATGGAATTTATTTTAAGATTTTGTTATAATGTTCTTTTTCTTTTTTCTTTAATGTCTACAGATATAATCGGCACCAGGCTTAATTGTAACCTTTTTCTATTTGATTTTTTTTTTTTTTTTAAATTTATTTTAATTAGTTTGTTCATAATGTTCTGTTTTTCTTTTTTCTTTAATGTTCCTACAGATATATTATTTCGGCACCTGACCGGGCTTAATTTTGTAACCCTTTTTCCTATTTTGATTTTTTTTTTCTTTTTAATTTGCGCCTCCATCATATATATTAGGTATATATATATGATATATATTGTGTGTGTGGAGGGTAAATTGAAACAAAAGTAAAAATTGATATATATATATATATATATGTGTGTGTGGAGGTAATTGAACAAAATAAAAATTGATACAGTGGAACAACTTTTTTTTTTGATTTAGCAACAACAGCTAAGCTTTAATTCCAAGTTTTTGGTATCAGTTAAAATTGGGATGTTTCAACATTAGACATTTGTATACAAATAATGTGCGGAATACTCTAGATTCCCTTTGTAACTGTAGCCAAAATGAATGGTGTTTTAGGTTTTTAAATCTTTCATGTATGATGATCTCAAAACAATGCGTTGTTCTTTCAATGTGAGCCACAGCTTTACAATGTCAGGGTAAGGTTGTTCATAAATCCGAACTTCTCAGGAACTTCAGTATAGTGCTTTTGGATATGTTTACTTAAGACAGCATTAGAGTGATTCCAATAATGATTGCTAACCTTTTGTTATTCATTGTGAACATATGTAATCAATACAAAACCACCATTACAAGCATCACCAAAAACACTAAATCAACCATTAACGACCTTTATGGGGGTTGCAGAAACCATGCCAATTTTTTATCATTTGTCTCCATTGTCATCGATGCCGTTTGTGTCAGGGCCAGTCTATAGTTGTTGACCACATCTCGACTGCTAGAACCATCCTTTGCTCTGGTCTGGTGCATATCTTAACTGGTTGATGACCCGCAATTGCTAATGCCATCAATATTTTTAGCCATGTACAGCAAACATTTTCGTTCAGTGTTTCAGTTTTTCTTCTCCTTACAGTCCTTCTACTCCTTTTTTTTTTTTTTTTTTTTTTTCTTTTTTTTTTTAAATTGTTTGGACCAGCGTATCTGCACATGGGTCACCCAAATTGTGGACGTTTCCTGTTCAAGTGATTTTAAATTGGAACAACGTTCTGGGCCGCACTTTTCTTTACTTGATTTTCATTTGAGTTATTTTGAAGTTGTTTTTTTTTTTTTTTTTTTTTTAAATTGTTTGGACCAGCTATCTGCACATGGGTCACCCAAATTGTGACGTCCTGTTCAAGTGATTAAATTGAAAACGTTCTGGGCCACTTTTCTTTACTTGATTTTCATTTGAGTTATTTGAATGCTCTCGATTTAATGTCACGGAAATGAAAATATGTACAGTGCTATTATTTGTATTGATCTTATTGTTTGAAGTGGAGATCTTATTGTTTTTCCTATAGGTCTGTGGGTTTTTGGCATTGTTGGGAGTTTGCTATTCTTAAATGAGTGATGGTTTCAAGGTCGTATATGAATTTTCTAGACTTGGCCTCTGGGAACTTGTTGGATATTCCTCAGACTCCAAGGTCTCTTCCTAGAGTGATGACTGTTCCTGGAATTATCTCTGATGCGGATGGTTATGGCTGTAATGATGGTGATTCAGAAGTTAGTTCATCTATTTGTGAGCGGAAAATTATAGTGGCAAATATGTTACCTTTGCATGCTAAGAAGGATACAAATGGCAAATGGTGCTTCAGCCGAGATGAAGATTCACTTCTGTTGCAACTAAAGGATGGTTTTTCTCCTGAAACTGAGGTTATTTATGTGGGGTCTCTGAAGGCTGATATAGATGCTAGTGAGCAGGAAGAAGTTTCCCAAAAACTGCTGGAGGATTTTAATTGTGTTCCTACGTTTCTACCTCAAGACTTACAGAAGAAGTTTTATCTTGGATTCTGTAAACAGCAGTTGTGGCCTATTTTTCACTACATGCTACCTATGTTCCCAGACCATGGTGATCGCTTCGACCGCAATCTTTGGCAGGCCTATGTTTCAGCAAATAAAGTGTTTGCAGACAAGGTCATGGAAATAATCAGTCCAGAGGAAGATTATGTTTGGGTTCATGACTATCACTTAATGCTTCTGCCGACCTTTTTGAGGAAAGGCTACAATCGAGTCAAGCTTGGGTTCTTCCTTCACAGTCCATTTCCTTCATCAGAAATATACAGGACTTTGCCAGTCAGAGATGAAATTCTGAGGGGGCTTCTGAATTGTGATCTAATTGGTTTTCATACATTTGACTATGCACGACACTTTCTCTCATGCTGCAGTAGAATGCTTGGCTTGGACTATGAATCTAAGAGGGGACACATCGGACTTGATTACTTTGGCCGTACAGTGTACATCAAGATATTGCCTGTAGGTATACACATGGGTCGACTTGAATCGGTCATGAATATTCCATCCACATCTGCTAAAGTCCAAGAAATTCAAAAACTGTTTAGTGGGAGAAAAGTGATTCTTGGTATTGATGACATGGACATATTCAAAGGAATCAGTCTGAAATTATTGGCGATGGAACAACTCTTGCAGCAACATCCAGACTTGCAAGGGAAAGTGGTCCTGGTTCAGATTATGAACCCTGCAAGGGGATTAGGGAAGGATGTTCAAGAAGCAAAAAGGGAGACATATTTAACTGCTAAAAGGATCAATGAAGTTTATGGTTCACCAGAATATGAACCAGTGATTCTGATTGACCGTCCTGTTCCTCGTTATGAGAAGACTGCCTATTATGCTTTAGCTGAATGTTGCATAGTGAATGCAGTCAGGGATGGGATGAATTTGGTTCCTTACAAATATATCGTTTGTAGGCAGGGAACCCCATATATGGATGAAGCCATGGGCATAAGATCAGAATCTCCTCGGACAAGCATGCTTGTTGTGTCCGAGTTCATTGGTTGCTCACCTTCTCTAAGTGGAGCAATTAGGGTAAACCCTTGGGACATTGATGCTGTGGCTGATGCCTTGAATTTGGCCATCACAATGCGTGAATCTGAGAAGCAATTGCGCCATGAGAAGCATTACCGTTATGTCAGCACTCACGATGTATCTTATTGGTCACGCAGCTTTATGCAGGATTTAGAGAGAGCTTGCCAAGATCATTATAATAAAAGGTGTTGGGGAATTGGCTTTGGCCTAGGATTCAGAGTTGTGTCTCTTTCTCCTAGCTTTAGAAGGTTATGCATTGATCACATTGTCTCAGTATATAAAAGGACAAATAGAAGAGCAATATTTCTGGACTATGATGGTACTGTAGTGCCTCAAACTTCTATTGTTAAAAGTCCTAGCCCTGAAGTCATCTCTGTTCTGAAAACTCTGTCTAATGATCCCAATAACACTGTGTTTATTGTTAGTGGGAGAGGGAGAAGTTCATTGAGTGAGTGGCTTGAGCCATGTGAGAGATTAGGAATAGCTGCTGAACATGGATACTTCACGAGGTATGTGAATGATTTGGTCTGAGAACAGTTTGTGAAATGGAAATAATCATAAAATGCCAATGCTATTTGTTCTTTGTGTTTCTTTTCAGGTGGAATAAAAACTCTGAATGGGTAACCAACTCTGTTGCTGATGATCTTGATTGGAAAGAGATTGTAGAACCGGTAATGAGACTGTATACAGAAGCAACCGATGGCTCCAGTATAGAGGTGAAGGACAGTGCTTTAGTATGGCACCATCAAGATGCTGACCCAGACTTTGGATCCTGCCAAGCCAAAGAATTGTTGGATCATCTTGAAAATGTCCTTGCAAATGAACCAGCTGTTGTTAAGCGGGGCCAACATATTGTTGAAGTTAAACCACAGGTATAACTGCCCCTGTTAACCCCACCTTCTCCCAACCCTTACTCCTCTCTCTCTCCCTCTCTCTCTCTCTCTCACACACACACACACACACAAACTGATGCATATGCAGATTGCTGGAGAAAAGATCTCATTGACTATATATTTTTAACATGCAGGGAATAAGCAAAGGACTTGTTGCTGAAAAGGTTCTTTCGAATATGGTTAATCATGGGAAGCCACCTGATTTCGTGCTGTGCATTGGTGATGATAAATCAGATGAGGACATGTTTGAGAGTATATTAAGCACAGTTTCTGGTCCAACTTTGCCTTCAGCTCCAGATATCTTCGCCTGCACTGTTGGGCAGAAGCCAAGCAAGGCTAAGTATTATCTTGACGATACTGTTGATGTTGTGAAATTGCTTCAAGGCCTTGCAATTGCTTCCTCCCCGAAGCCCAAGTATGTGGAACAAAGTTTGGTTTCTTTTGAGAGTGCTATTTGAATAAACTGGTACATTCCACATACTGACTGTCATTTTGATTTGATGGTCTTCAACTAATGAATCAAGAAAATTTTTTTGGCTATTGATCTTAACTTGGTCTGCTTCTGCTTCATGCAAATCTGGTCCTTCTCGAAATGGATTGCATTTTGGGTAGGTGAAAGGTAGATTACCGGAGGCAGGGACTGACAGTTCTTATTCTTGTATATGGTGAGATAATTCTTACGGACATTTACAGCGACTCATTTTTCCACCTCTACTATTTTTGGGTATTTTATCCAGAATAGGAGGCACCATTAACATGTATTTATACATTTAATGTTACCGCACACGAATTATCAAATTTGATCTTCCAATTTCGCATATTGTATATAGTTTATATAAAGTTCTCCGTGATTTTCAATAGTAAAGTGGTTGCTTCTTGAATCTCAGCAAGCGATAGCCTTTTAAATCATTTTGATTAATTAAGTTAGATTCGAGTAATGCTCACACAGGGATGATGATTATACTTAAAACGCTCGAATTCGAGACGTTAGTTAAGGAAAAAGGGTATTCCAAAGTATTCCAACCATCCCATCTAAATCAACCTTGGTAAAGTGCATTAAGTGTTAGAAGACTGCATACTTCTCTGGGCTTCGCTGACGCCCTTCTCGTTGGTTGTTGCTGAAAATAAAATAGCCTTGAAGATATGAATGCAAGATTCGCTTGCAAGGAAAAGATTTTAGAAATCTATAACGAATTAACAAGTAGATGAGCTGAGCAGAGCATGAATAGGATTAGGATAAGGCATTTGTGGGATCAAGTGTTGGTTTTAGAATTGGCCAAAGTTGATCATCATTAGAATAATTGGTGGCCCATTAACTTTAGGTTTTCATTCACCTAAAACCATTATTCTCTTTTCTGCTAAATGCAACAAACATATTTTAATTATTTCAGGAAAATTTGGTATTTTCATGCCTTTCTAAGGAAAGTTATTTTGTCGTGTACATTACATATGGGTGTGCGTTGGGCTAATCGCTAGTTTGAAAGGGAAGAGCTGTGCTTCTCCAATTGATTCAAGTGCCATTATTAAATTTGCCAATTTCATGAAGACTGTGGTTAGGTTGGAGTTGGCCGACACAACAAAAAGAAAGCCCAGCCAGCCAAGACCATTTGTCATCAGAAAGTGGACCAATTTAGAGCTCAAGCCAGGACAAATGGGTTAACCAGCCCATATTAGCCTCCCAAATATTTTCTGCTTTCTACTTCTCAGTTGTCAGTCTTCTTGGCCCAGAGGATAAAATGTTCCCCTGCCTTTAGGATATATGTCCCTCCTTCCCTAGGGAACATTTATTTTTTCACACCATCTATGCCCACAAGCCAATCTGAGATACCCTCGGGACTTAGGACCACTCAACCATAAGTTTTTCATTTTTATTTTATTTTTTATGTGTACAACTAGCTAAATGAGTTTACATTTGACTCATTAACACTAATTAATTTTATGATAATTTTATATGAATCCTACAATAAGGTGTCAGCTTATAACCTTTCCTTACTTTATTAACCTTGCATTATTTAACAACTATACATGTCATAATAAATGTCATGTATGTCACAACACAATAGATCTACAACTACAAGTTTGGCCTATTTCACTTACATGTGACTACCTACCTCACTTCTTAATGATTTCCTCCTCCTCTCTCTCTCTCTCTCTCTCTCTCTCTCTCTCTCTATCTCTAATTATGGTATAATAGAATCATTTCCAAAAAAAAAAAAATGGTATAATAAAAAGTAAAATTATGCCTTTTCAGCCTTTGTTACAAGAGAAAGTTAGCCCATAAACTGCCTTTGTTATTGAGAATCTTGTGAAACTCATAATAGATTTTTTTTTTTTTTTTCAAAAGGTACTAATTATAGTACAAAATATATGGTTTATTGTTGTGATAAAGCATATCAAACTATTAAGAGGGCAAAAATTATATTATAAATTAATGAGTAGAAGTGTCACCTGATACCTATTTACAGGAATTTGGAAAATCCATTTTATCCCAAATTAAATTTTATTATAAGAATCAGTTTGTTTTCCACTTATTAATGAGAATTAAAATATAAATATTTTTTTTTCCTCTTATCTTTAATACTAAAAAAATTATTAGAACAACAGTAATAAGGCGACAAGCAATTTGAAAAAAAAATGTTTTGAGGAAGCAAAAATAAAGAGGAATTAGCTGGAACCCATTAAAGGCATGTATGTATGAACACACAGCGAGAATGTAGGTGAGAGTTGAGGAATGAATGTAACCCTGCTAAATTTGTGATTGTTGCTTGTTAGTTGTTTACTCGATTATAACATAAAAACTCAGAAAAAGTTGAGGTATTTAAGCCTAAAAATCACATAACATAACAATTAATAAAGCATATGAGTCTCTCTCCCTCTCTCTCTTCCTCTGCACTTCCCCACTGTGCCACACTGCCACTGACCTCACTTGCTTTTTGCTGTTCCTTTTCTCGCTCTTCTTTGTCTTTTTCACCTTTCCTATCCTCCATTCTCACTCTCTACTGAGCTACTCTCAAAATTATACTCCCTAGTCCCTTCTTCCTCTTCTTCTTCGGTTACTTTTTTTTTTAGAGAAAAAGGACACACTGTTTTTGAGAATCTTTCTTTAGTCCCATTTCATATCAAAGCTAACTTTTTGACTGAAACCCGGATAAGAAATAGGGTTTCTTGCAAATGCCTACAGCTTGAATCTTTTGTTTTTTTTTTTTTTTGGGTTTTTCTTCTGTGTTGAAGCAATGGGTGTAATGGGCAAGGATGTGTTGGTTTTGTTTCTTATGATCTTGCTGTTATTTGGAGATGTCTCTTCGGCTCCTAGTACTGCTTCCCCTGCAAGTAAGTGTGTGTATATAAGCTTCGAAGCTACTTTACTTGATCTGTTTTTTGTTTACTAGCTTCTTGCTTGACTGTAGCGGGTTTTTTTTTTTTTTTTTTTTTTTTTTTCTGCTTCCCCCTGCAAGTAAAGTGTGTGAATATAAGCTTCGAGCAGACCTTTACTTGATCCTTCTCGTTTTTTGCTTTTACTAGCTTCTTGCTTGACTGTAGCGGGGTTTTTTTTTTTTTTTTTTTTTTTTTTTTATGCAGAGATGTTAGTGGGTACTTCTCAAATGCGCTGTATCTGCTTTTTCATGAAATGCGTTGTGGTTCTCCAGCCACAACTTAAAAAACAGGTTATTGCATCTCTGATTCTCAGTTCACCTTCATTTTCCTTTTCTTTTTTATATTCTTTATTTTTTCTTAGCTTTTTATTGTTGGTGATTTTAACTCTTTATCTTGTGTGCTTGGAAATTCGGTATCTGATTATGTGGATTTATGAAACATTGGTGTGCGGGGTTTTTTTTTTTTTTTTTTTTTTTTTGCAGAGATTGTTAGTGGGTACTTCTCAAATGCTGTATCTGCTTTCATGAAATGGTTGTGGTCTCTCAAAGCCACAACTAAAACAGGTTTTGATCTCTGATTCAGTCACCCTCATTTTCCCTTCTTTTTTATATTCTTTATTTTCTTTCTTAGCTTTTTATTTTGTGGTGTTTAACTCTTTATCTTGTGTGCTTGGAAATTGGTATCTGATATGTGGTTTATGAAATTGGTGTGCGCAGCGATAACTGGCCGTCCGACGATGAAGTTTGAGAGTGGGTATACTGTGGAGACCGTGTTTGATGGAAGCAAGCTCGGGATTGAGCCTTACTCTGTGGAGGTGTTGCCTGGTGGAGAGCTTCTAATTTTGGACTCTGCTAACAGTAACATTTACAGGATATCTTCCTCCCTGTCTCTATGTAAGTGGGTTTTAGCAATTGCCTGGATATTGATGGGTTGACCGTTTTGTTGAATAACTATTTCTAGAATTCTAGTTTGGTTGGCGCTATCATTCTATTATACGATTTTGTAAACTTTTTGCCTCTACCAAATGTCCTTTTGTCAAAACTTTATTGGGTATAATTGGTCTGAATTGTATTAAAATCACAATCAAATTCAGCTTTTATAAAACCATAAGCAACTTCAATTTACTTGAGCTTACTTCTAGTAGATTGCCTAAGTTGGTGATTAGGTATTTGAGAAAGATATTCATTATTTAGCAGTTTGAGTTAGCTTTCATCTGATTTTATGCTTACAATGTTGATTCAAGGGCTTTAAGTTGTCTATGACTGTATGCAATTTTGTGTTTGAAGCCAGTTGTATCAAGTGGCAAGCATTACATAAAATATGTTTTAATTGTGCTCTAGGTAGATCAGATCCATAGAATGAATCTGGAAATAAAATATTGTTTATTTCTGCACCTTTTTGAAGCCTGTTATCTCATGTGGTAGGCTTTTGTGTGTAAATCAAATATGCTTTCATTTGTATTCTATCTGGTCATGGAAAGACTGGATCTACATAATTTTCCATTGAAGATAAAATATCAGTACTCTTGGCTAATTAAAAATGTTATGGCTCTTCAAGTGCTATGTTTTCCTATTTTCCTCTTGGAAATTGAAATACATTTTTTAGAGAATCCTCCAAATGGCAACTATCCGTATCCTCGTGCAGGATATAGCTGGTTTTTCTTTCAATAATATTTGTTTATCTGTGTACTTTAGGCTTTATTCACTATTATAATGGGGGAAAAAAGGCAGAGATGGTTGAGAAATAAATGCTTGCACACAGTTTATTTATATTGTGTGAAATACTTTGCACATCTTTCTAGCATTATGCAGGATTAGAAATTAAGCATGGTACAAATAGTTAAGGTATATTGCATCTTTGTTGCCAGTTGCTGTGTGTAAACTTACTTAAAGCAAGTATAACCTTAACATACGGCAATAATGTTCTACTTCTATCGAATTCAGCTGTTCTAAAATCTAACACCAACAAACAAATGTTATTCATGCATACATCTGCTTCATTTCTTCATATGTATTAAACATAACAATTCCAGTCAATTGAGCTTGTGGTTTTAAGATTTACCAAGATTTGTTAGATGTCTCATGTTATTCTATTCATGAAACATCATTTTTCATGTCTGACACAAATAAAGATTTTGTTCTGCATATTCTTTTCTTTCTTTCCTTATTCCATATAATTTTATCTACTAAATCATGCTGCAGACAGCAGGCCTAAGTTGGTTGCTGGATCGCCTGAAGGATACTCTGGACATGTAGATGGGAAGCTCAGAGAGGCAAGAATGAACCATCCAAAGGGGCTTACAGTAGATGATAGAGGAAATATTTACATTGCAGACACCATGAACATGGCAATCAGGAAGATAAGTGATGCAGGTAACTGCTATGTGTTTCAAATCCCATAGAAAATGTAACTGGGGCTTTATTGCAATTTTAGATTCAAGTCTAGATTTGTCTCTGCATCATTGTTTGATATAGATTTTTATAATCATGATAGGTTGATATTGCTGTTGGGTTTTTAAAGTTTGAAAAGAAGATACTTATGCTGATATGATTGGAAATCTTCTTGTAGGGGTGACAACAATTGCAGGAGGGAAATGGGGACGTGGAGGGGGCCATGTAGATGGAGCAAGTGAAGATGCAAAGTTTTCTAATGATTTTGATGTGGTTTACATTGGAAGCAGTTGCTCTCTTCTTGTTATAGACAGAGGAAACCGAGCTATCAGAGAGATCCAACTCCATTTTGATGACTGTGCTTATCAATATGGAACTGGCTTTCCCTTTGGTAAGTAGATCTTTTCTATTGCAATTTAATCTTCTAGTATTTGCTTATTACAATATATTTTTTTAGGTAATTATTTTGTTATTACAGGAATTGCTGTGCTTGTAGCAGCTGGTTTCTTTGGTTACATGCTGGCTTTGCTGCAACGTAGAGTGGGAACAATTGTTTTCTCTCAGAATGTAAGTGTTTACTTTTTGCCAATCATTCGTTCATTCTCAGCCATTCCATGGCATGAAATAATCATCAATGCAGGATTTTCATACTTGCGTATGTTTTTCCATTTCATTTTTTCAACTTGTACATGTGTGCTTTTTTTTTTTTTACACTGTTTTGGCGATTGCATTAGTAGCTTTCAAAAACACAGCTCTCATGCCTGTGTCAAAACAAAGTGGGAACAGGCAAATAAACTTGAAACGAGAGTTCTAGCCAGTTTTCATGGAGTATTTCCTCAAAGGCTGGCTAGTCTTCATTCACGTCATTGCTATGCATTGCCGAGTTGCAATGGTAGTTCAAATGTGTACTCTCTGAACTAGCAAAAATAACTTGGTGTTCGCTGCTATAGTTTTGGCATTTTCTATTGCTCGAGTCTAACAAAGCAAATGCTCTCAATCTTCTGCCATCTGAAGGATCAGGATGCAATCAGCAACACAGGAAGTCCATATCAGAAGCCCCTTAAATCAGTCAGGCGACCTTTAATTCCGACCGAGGATGACCTGGAGAAGCATGAAGAAGGTTTCTTTGGATCCCTTGGCAAGCTTTTTGCCAATGCTTGGGCATCTGTCGTTGAAATTTTGGGAGGAATAGTTCCTGGTCAGAAAAAGAAGCCGCTGAGCTATCAATATCAAAACCAGCAACAGAAGCACTCAAACTCTTGGCCTATGCAGGACAGCTTTGTGATACCTGATGAAGATGAGCCTCCTCCTACCATTGAAACAAGAACACCAACACCGAGGAAAACTTACCCATTCATGTCCAAGGATGCAGAAAAGATGCAGCAATGGAGGCAAGGGCGTGCTTTCTATAGTGGGTGGGATGATGACCATCAACAGCAGCAACAGAAACAGCAGCAGCATCACCGGTATCAATCTACTACCCCACACACATACTATGAGCAGAGTTATGAGAAAACCAAGGAAATTGTGTTTGGTGCAGTTCAAGAACAAGATGGGAGACGTGAAGCTGCAGTGATTAAGCCTGTTGATTATGCAAATCCCATTTATAATCACCAGAGCATTCGCTCTCGAACCCATTCTATGGGTTATAGTAATGGGTATTGAATTATTAATCATATACAAGGATATTTTTGGATTTGGCATTGATAATGTTAGTCCTTGAAATTTTAGGATATACTTAGTGTCAAGATTTATTATGAGAGAATGAAATATTTGTGGGAGCTGGCTTAGTGCCTTGAAATGAAAAGTCAAAATATTGTTAACCTATTGCATAACATGGCGCTTCTATAAAAATGGTCGAGGAAATGAAGCAATCCCTTTTCCCCTTTTCAGATTCTCTGTTTCTGAATTCTGATGTCCGCACTTATCTTAATTGCACGAAATTACGTTCTTGACTTGAGTTTTTTTATTATTTAAATTTGTTTTGCCCTTTGCAGGGGCAGAAGCAGAAGCGATTCTGTGTTGAACGTCGCAGACTTACCTAATTAATTAGTTGGGTATTGAATAATTTCATCCATAAATGCAACAAAGCGAAAAAGAAGGAAAACATATTAAATTCAAGTCCGGAGTCTAATTGATTTCGTAACAATGGGAGAGTTTCCTCGACCAGAGAGAAAAAGAGTTTTGAGTAAAGAACTCACTTTCTTTCTCATAATTATAAAAAAAGTATATCACATGAGCAAGACTATTCCATTATGCCCTCTATAAGAGGATTCCATGCGGATAAACTAGCTCCATCTATTTCATTTCAACAAGTAATTTTTGCATCCATTAATATTTCTAATTAGCAGCTATTGGAACCTGAAGGAAAAATGAAAACAGACACATAAACTAAACCTCTCAGTTGAGGATAATATCTCAAATTCTCAATCCAGGGCGACAACCATGTTAACATAGGCACGAGTCCTTAACAAACAAACAAAAAAAGGAAATATAAACATGCAGAATTCACTAGCTAGCTACTTCATCTCCTCTTGACTAAGCCCACACTCCCTATCATCGACTCATCCAGTGGAGTTGTTTCTTCAGCCACCATGGCAAATCCTATTATATTTGCTTGTATCATAGTATCTATCCTCCTTTGGCTGCCCAACAAAACATCGCTTTTTAACTGATCATGTTCTTCTTGCTTGAAGATGTCATTCTTTGAATTTGGCAATTGCATGGGACTGCTAAAACTTATCAAGTCTTTCAATTCATCACCGGATAGTTGTGGCTTCTTCACCTCAAAACTATTTACATCAGAATCAAGCAAAGATACAAAGCCCTTACTCAAAGTTTGAGAATCTATTCCCTTGCTTGAAGTTTGTAAACCTACAGTGTTGATCCTAAGCATAAGTTGCAAATGAGACAGGCTCAGCCATAAGAGCCTCCTTATTAGTTCATAAAGCTTGGTGTTAGCAACTGCGCTTCTGATGTCGAAGCAAAGCATCAGTATTGGCTTCACCAGCTTGATTGGGCGGATTTTCCATGTCTTGCTGGAATAAAGGGGACGGGAGCCTTCCTGTCTATAAATTTAGGTTAGAAAAGGTGCAAGCATTCCATTAATCTGGAGAAATATGATATGAACACATAGAGACTTACATGAGAGGTAATATAAGGGCGAGTCACAAACCCAATGACGATCCCAAGTAAACATGAGAGGATCAGTCCTAAAACCCAAAACGAAACTGCTCTCAGTGCTGCAATTTCAAATAAAAGATTAGGTCAATTATCCACATGCATCATCAGGAATACTGCTTAGGACTGTCTCATGGTCCTTCCCTCTAACAAGGGAGTGAATCCCACTTGATGGTAGTGGTAATCATAATTAATGTAATAATGGAAAGATCAAGGGATAATCCTATTTATAATTCTTCCAATATAGCATAATGAATTTCGGCAAGGAATTGACCTTTCTTGAAACATAGAGAAATAACCAATAAAAATGCATTTTGAGGCTTCACATATTCAATAGAGAAATTTTAATTTACATTCCTTTGAAAGAAAAAAATTGAAAGCAATTAACAGAGGCTCAAAGTCAAAATGCTGATGCCTAGTCAAACATACGCTAATTATATCATAAAAGCATGGGATAACAAGCTCCATAAGTGTGATGTGAGGACTCTAGCAGACAGTACGGTTGGGTCTAGATATTCCACCATCTCTGGTCCCTCTCACTATTACTGTATTGTATACTATACACTAAAGCTAAATCCAGCCATGAATTACCTTCTATCAAGAAATAACAACATAATCCAGACGAAACAGACCATGAAAGCCAAGATGGTTAAAATCCTTCGGAATCAACCATGTTTGACTTACTAGATATCAGGCTAACCTCAAAAGATGACCCTGAAGTGACATTTTATAAGATGATCATAGGTTAAATATCCAATTAGATGTGCTTGTATTGTGATAAGTTTAATTTCAAATCGAAAAGCTAATGTTCTTATAGACTTACAGCAGACGAACCCAAAAAAGGATATGCATAACCCACTACCCACAATCCATTCAACAACTCACCAGATTGAGAGTGTCTATAACAATCCTCTCGTTTAAGACCAATCTGGCGAACCAATTGATTCCCATGATCTGAAATCAGCAAAGCACATTCTTCAGGAACAAAAGCCACCTCAAAATCACTAGAGAATGAAGCATTTTGTGCAGGACCATCCTTATGGCCCACTCCCTTGGAGTACCCTCCAGCGATGGTAGTCACGCCTAGAAGTAAAACACAAAGAACAGTTGTAGGAGTGAATACTAGCAGCAGCAACAGAACGACACGCATAAACAAACTGTCGTGTAAAAGTTTTGGATGATCAAAACCAATATACCTGAGTTGCTTATCTTTCTTATGGTGCCGTTAATCCTATCAGCAACATAAATATTGCCTTTAAAATCAACTGTAAAGCTCCTTGGCTTATTGAACCGAGCAGAACCGAGTGCCCCATCGGATAACCCGGCAACCCCATCTCCGGATAAGCGCTTGAACCCACTACCTGCAAATTTCGATAAAAAAGAAAAACAAATATTAAAAAATCAAACCCCAAACAAGCTATGAAAAGCTATTTTTAGATGCAATTACTCTGAGAAATGGGGATTGATACGGTGTAGAAGACACTATTGGAAGAATCAAGAATTATAAGATCGGAAGATCCAGGTCGAGAGAGGACAGCGTGAGGATTTATTTTTAGTTGGTGACCGTCGATCACAGTGGTTACAGTGTAGCCGTCTTCTAGTATAAGTTCCGCTGAAAGTGAAAGAAAATCTCGTCAAAAAACATACTTTCAAAACCAAAGTAAAGAATAAAAAATAAGAGAAGGGTTAGGTTTCATATTTTACCATCTATTGAAACTACATTAAGAAGAACGGTGAAGAAGAAGACGACGACAAGAGAGAGTGAGAAGGGATGAGAAGCCATAAAAGTTGGAAGGAGAAGATTAATAATGGTGAATCAGACAGCGATTGCTTTAGGATCGGAGAGCATAACTGCACAAGGCCATCCTGCAATGATTTAAACCGAAGTCGTAGAGGCGAAGTGGAGGTGGTGGCCTGCCGAAAGTACGATGCGTGGTGAAAAGTAATTGGAGGAGATGGTATTTGTGCGGGTATTTTTTGTTTTTTTGTTTTTTTTTTTTTTTGGAATATTAACGGTGTCGTTTTTCATGGCTTCGTATCGAAGTTTTCAGACCGGACTGGCTGAAAGTAGAGAGTGAGGACTGAGGAGTAGACGAGATTTGGTTCAATTGTTCATGCGGATTGTAGTAGGTTTTTGGTAAAATTTTTAATTAATTTTATAGTTTTTTTTAGAATAATATTTTTTTATTTGATTTGTATTTATATAATATTTGGCATTTATTAACTTCATAATTATTAATAAAAAATTTTTAAAGTAATATTCCATGCGGATCTTGTAGTAGGTTTTTGAGTAAAATTTTTAATTTAATTTATAGTTTTTTTTAGATAATATTTTTTATTTGATTTTGTATTTAATAATATTTGGGCATTTATTTAACTTATAATTATTAATAAAAAATTATTTAAAGTTACATATTAATATTTTTTACATTAATTTTATTTATATTTATTAAAAAATAATAATTTTTATTAAATATTATTTAAAAAAATAATTAACTTTTTATTTATATAATATATTAAATAAAAATTGATGTTTTTATCTTAAAAATTTAAAAATACATATATACATTATATATCATCACAGTAATATAAGCATAAAGAATATTTTAATCAAAATGAGGTAATTGAGTGGCAAAAAGTACTCGCGGGGTTGATACTCTAGCTTAGGTAATGGGTTCAACTGGGGATTAGTCAGTTTGTGAACCTTTAAAATAGATACGAGCTTAGATATCTCGTCCAATGATAAGCATGAACTTTGAAAAATTTTTTTTTTCAAATTTTGCCAATTAATATTTTTAATTTTCAACCATGGATTTCATTCAAAATTCGATTAAATAATCAAGTGATGGAGTTTCGGAAGTGAAGAAACTTATTTGACAAACCTTAGACGATGCAAGTTGTTGCTCATTGAATGTTCATCAAAAGTCCGTTAATTATATTGTCGTACTAAATTCTTTCAAGCAAGGTGGGTGTGAGTTGGCATGTCGTGGGCAATTAATGGCCAAATAAGCAATAAACTAATGGACTATGGACGAAGTTTATAATTGACAATAAAAAATAAGTGTGAGGTAATAATCGACAAAATTCAGAGTATTTTTCAAAATTCAAGTTTTGTTTTTATATAATTTAGCCTAATTACAGTTAATATTTTTAAGTAATTGTTATTAAAAATTTACCAAAACAGGAACATTTATCTGCTAACTACTATTAATTATTAAGTACTATTAGTATTCGAATTCGTGAGAAAATCTAGAAAACTAACCAACCACACTGGTTGACAAATATTTTTATTTATTTAATCTACTAAGATATTATAAAATATATACATAAACATTAATGCAAATAAACATTTATAACAAACAATTAACATGAAAATATAATTATTTTTTAAAATTCTATTATGCATAACTATATTAAATCCACAAATTTTTAATTTTATACACTGAAAATTTTATCTAATGGCATTAATAAAGAAAAATAAAATTCATAGCATTCGTAATTGTCCTAGCTAGAAAAATATGTACCATGTGCATTTTTCTTGAATCGGGTTAAAAGTTCGGTAAATTCATAGTTTTTAAAATTTTGTTAGTCTTTCTCGATAGAACTTGTGATTAACAACAAAAGTAAGTTCGTTTATTCCCAGTCTTCTGTTTCTCTTGATTAATCTCATTCTCTTTTTTTTTTTTTTTTTTTTTTTTTTTTTTTTTTTTTTTCTTTTTTTTTTTTTTTTTTTTTTTTTTTCAGTACAAAATTAGGTTTTGGTTAGGATTCATGTCTATGTTTTTTTTTTTTTTTTTTTTTTTTTTTTTTTTTTTCAGTACAAATAGTTTTGTTAGGATTCATGTCTATGATATCTAAGAAACTATTATACTTCACCGGTAAATAAAATAATACTCCATTCTTCTTAAAAAAATAGTTATTTTTTTAAATTTATCTTAAAATATAGTTTATTTTTATTTTTGCATTATAATTAATATTTAATTATCTATATCCTTAACCCTTATTAATTCTTACTTATTATTCAAATATAATAATTGCCATGTATTATTTAAGATGAGGACAATAGTTTATTTTTCTTTTTTGCATTATAATTAATCTTGAATTTTCTATTATACCCTTAACTTTTATTAATTCTTACTTATTATTTAAATATAATAATTGCCATGTATTATTTAATATGAGTATAATAAGAAAATTATATGAATCAAAATATCATTTTAACCATAATAATTACTATTTATTAATTTATGTAAAAATAGAAAGTAAACTATATTTTGTAGATGGAGTAATAAAATATACCAATAAATCCTCATAAATAATGACAGACGGAGGATGTGATCCCCGTCCACCTAACCAAAATTTTTTTGAAAGAATTATCTCATAAAAATAATGAAATTTTTTATTTTATCTTTTAAAATAGTAAAATTTTTAAATTATATCATTTTTAATTTTTGAAATTTTTTTAGTTCCTAGAAAATGCACTTTGCTGAGAAAGAACGATAAAAAATTTGCACGCGAGGGGATTGTACTTACGAGGAGTTTATACTTCTTAATTATAAAAAAATTTCAAACGTGGCTTAAATAAGAAAATATTTCCACGTAGGTACAGTCATTAATATACAATGAAAACCCGCAAGCCCGTCAATGGAAAATAGGAACTCGACTGTAAATAAATGAAAGCATTTAAAAGTGCATATTGTCTCCAAATCACCGTCGGTGACCTTACCATCTCTAACGACAAATCAAATAACGATTCACCTCGTGACAGAACACCATATAATGGAGAACCCACCGTCAACTAATCCAATCAAAGTCTGAAGTTAGCGTTTTACATCACCGTCGGGTACACGAATCACTGCACCCAATGAAAGTTTTGAGTGCGCATATGTTTAATTTAATTTAATTTTATGTAATTTAATTTTGAACAACAATTTTTCTCAGTTTTCATTTCCTGGGAACACACAGTGCGAAACACACACAAGTAAAAAGAAAAAAGAGCACTATTTTTCTCTCTCTCGTCTGTCTTCAGATCCAAATCTGTCTTCGTTCTCTGTTCTCTCTCAGATCCCAGAATTAACATATTCGGATCTTCGAGTATAGAGTTCGGGTCTATCCGTTTTTCGCTGACTGAATTCGGAGGAGTCTAATTTTTGATCGACTCGGGTTTGTTATCATTTCACTTGGATCTGACTGAGCTTGCAAAAGAAGCTTCAAAACGGACCCAAGCATGAATCCCTTCTCCTCCGGTACCCGTCTAAGGTGAGTTGACAATCTGACAGTTACCATTTTATTTCATCATTTTAGCAAAATTTCGTGTTTCTCGATATTTTTGGTGTTAACTAACCAAACGGAAGCTGGAGTTTTGCAATTCTGGTTTTGATTGGATTGCGTTAACTGAAATTGAAGTATAATTCGATTGGTTTCTACGTTTGGAATTGAATCTACTGCGGTTTTGTACTTTTTTTTGTTTCGTAATTTGGTTATTGTAGCTGGAATTTGCTGCTCTTCGAAGGTCAATGCGCGTTTAATTTTGAATGTATAGAGTGGGTTAACTTCAGCTGATTTTTGTTAGTTGCAGTTAGAGGACAGTGAAATGTAGAGAACTCCTTGCCTTAGATGATTAATGAAAGAATTTACAAATAGTTAAGTTATGAGGGTTAGAGTTCTATTAGCCTATAAGGACATTTTCCACATAACTTATTGAAAAGAGGTTGAAGGGTGAAGGAATAGCATGGGAGTGTCGATGTATCACTGCAAGGATCTCTCTACCATTTTTACCCCTTTTTTTTTTTTAACTTCTAAGGGCCTTTCTATCTGCTAATGATCCGGTAACATATTTATTTAAATGCTTCCTGTACAAGAAAAGGTGGATAATTCCACATGGAGGGTAATTCTTCTGGAGCACTTATGTATTCAAACCTTTGTAGAAGATCCATCTATTGGTAACTTAGGGGTTTATTCTGGAACTCGACATGTTTAAGAAAAGAGGAGAGCACCAGTTCACTAGAGCTTCAAAATGGAGCTTAGAAAATGATATGATTTCTTTTTGGAATAATACTCTTGCAATATGCTGCTGTCAGACTGGGGTTTGAAGTGCGAGAATTTCAGAAAAGTCTTTTTGGGCCAGTTTTTTATGAGAAGATGTAATCCGAGTAATTTTGTCGTGCACGAGGCAAAAGTGTCAAATGTCAGTGCATAAACTTTCTAAACTTAAAGCTTCTATTATAAAATTAGAATTAATAATAAAAACTGCTTTAAAAGTTGATAGTGGATTTTTAAAGTAGCCATTTTCCTTTTTACGGTATAACAATTCCAAATTGATTTTACAGATGCCATAAATGAATGCACACTACAGTAAGTAATTTGCTATTCTGTTACAATAAATATAAGGCAGAGAATGAAGGAGAAAATGTAACTTGTGCATTGTAATGAGTTTAGACATGGAATTTACCCACTACTGAATTGCATTTCTCCCATCTTTTTTGTTAAATAGCAAAGATATGTGACTTAAAAGTGTAAGGAGCGCATAGCACAACAGTGCATCTCGTTGGCATACTTCTATATGTGCAGTGCAAGGCACAAAGGTTATTTATAATTGTAAATTTGTGCCAAAAGGTTTGTACTGCAATTTGGTACTTGCGGCAATTGTTTCCATTACTAATTCAGGGTTTATCAGCCATGTATAGATGGGACCATGACCCTGAGAACATAAACTAAGTGTTTATTGCCCTTATTAGCAGATGGTAGCTTGTTATACTTGATTGAAACATTTTGCAAGGAGGTGATTGAGAGGCTATAGCTTATATCTTATAGTTAATAATGGTATGTAGTATTCTGTTTCCTTAAGTTTTGATTGGTATGTTGAAGAAGATTCCTATAGTTATTAGAGGCAGGGCAGGAATCGCCATCCTGTACATAGGTGAGAAGGAAGGGAAAGAATTGAACCATTCTTTTCGGTAAAGTAGGTTAAGGGGGTAAAGTGTCTAATTGGACTCAATAACATTTATACCTCTATCCATTTCCAATCCATCCATTTATAGCCTTTGGCTGGTGTTGTTGGTACTAGAGGAAATTCTCCTAGTTTTCTCTTCCATGTGGTACTCTCCCAACTAGGGTACATTCTCTTTCCTTCCCTTTCTTGCCAGGGCTCTCCCTCCCGATAATTCTCTTTGCTAAAAACATGAACTACACTTGAAGTGATGGGTGCAACTTATTAACAATCTGGTTGTCTGAATTTCCATATCTAAATTATGGTTGTTGTATTCATACCTTATTTCTGTGCTCTGGAGATTTCTGATAATTAACATGCTTAGATATTGAAGAAGCTCATCAAATAAACATTCCATAGTGATGGTAGTTAGACATGTCTATTATTTTGCAGGGACATGATTCGGGCTATACGTGCTTGCAAAACTGCTGCAGAGGAACGTGCTGTTGTAAGAAAAGAGTGTGCTGCTATTCGTGCAGCAATTAATGAAAATGATCAAGATTATAGACACCGTAACCTGGCGAAGCTCATGTTCATTCACATGCTTGGTTATCCAACACATTTTGGTCAAATGGAGTGCCTAAAGTTGATTGCATCAGCAGGATTTCCGGAGAAGAGAATAGGATATCTTGGCCTTATGTTACTTCTTGATGAAAGACAAGAAGTTCTAATGTTGGTCACGAACTCATTAAAACAGTATCCAATTTAATATATTTTTATATATGTTCTATATGGTGTTATCTGTGTATTTACAAGGCATTCCTAAATCCATGTCTTGACTTACAATAACCAATATAATGAACTTGAAACTAGGAAAGCCTACTTTTGCAGTTTTGGCAACCTTAACTTATTTACAGAGATCTTAATCACTCAAACCAGTATATCGTGGGACTTGCTCTTTGTGCTTTGGGAAATATTTGCTCAGCAGAAATGGCTCGTGATCTTGCACCAGAAGTGGAAAGATTGCTGCAATTTCGGGATCCAAATATCCGGAAAAAGGTATTGTGGCTTTTTGCATAGTTTCATGGTTCTTTGGCAGCAGAATTCTAAACTTGCATTTGGTATGAATAATTATTTTATTGTAGTTTCCACTGGGTAAAGGGGAAAGGGATGTGGGCATATGGGTGCACTGTCAGACCCCAGAATTACGCAATACTCTGATTCTTATTCTGTGCTAGTAAAGATAAATGCAGCTGAAAGAATGTGGCTTTTTATATATTGGTTATTTGATTCATTCATTGATTTCTTAAATTCAAAAGTTATCTAACTTAACATGCTTTTTGTGAGAGATTTTTTTCCCTTTTTTCTCTGCATGGAGAAATTATTGCCAAAATTCATTGTTTGGGTATCTGTTAATGAAATTATTCTTTGGTATAACTTTTTTTGTGCAGTAATTTATGTTATGATGATTATCTTTTCACTTGTTACTTTGGTTTCTGTACTTTTATTTTATTTTCTTTGATTTTCTTGTAATTGACTGATGCTTTTTGATGAATACAGGCAGCATTATGCTCCATAAGGATTATAAAGAAAGTACCTGATTTGGCAGAAAATTTCATAAATCCTGCTGCTGCCTTACTCAAAGAAAAGCATCACGGAGTCTTAATAACAGGCATCCAACTTTGTACAGATCTTTGTAAAGTCAGTCCGGAGGCCCTTGAATATTTCAGAAAGGTAATTGCGCATGGACTTTTTAATATGTTTACCGGAAATTTTGGAAGTGTCTAGAACTCTTTTTCTTGTCATCGTCCAACCCACACTAGGTTGTGCTGGAAAAGCTAATTTGAATTCATCTGCTTGGTTACATCATAAAGCTTTTGCTCTTATTGGATTGTCATTTACATGCATTTATATGGAATCATTTTTCTAACCTATAGGTTGAGTTAATTTCGAGTGATCAAAAAAATCACAAGATTAAATGTTATTTGTGTACTAGTTGTGGCTATATTAGTTGTTAGTTCAGATCCATCTTTTAGTACTGAATAGTGAATATTGATGTTTTTCTTAAAAACCAGATATAATAATTTACAACTAGAGTATATTTAATGGTCAAATTGCTGAATTTGAATTCAATGTGCAAAATTTTCTTTTGTCAAAGGAATTAGTGATTTAATTTTTTGGTACTCTTTTGAAAACAAGTCTATTACGATATTGTTCAAATATAGCTATAATGTCCGAGGTTATTTTTCATAGAAGTAGCTGAACTTTTAGGAAATAACCTTTGGTAACCTCAGCAGTAATTTTTTCCTCCAATTATGACAAGTTGTAAAATCACTATATGCAGAAATGTACAGAGGGTTTGGTCAGAACTCTAAAAGATGTTGCAAACAGTCCGTATGCACCTGAATATGATATTGCTGGCATTACAGACCCATTTCTCCACATCAGATTGCTAAGACTTTTGCGGATATTAGGCCAAGGGGATGCTGATGCTAGTGATGCTATGAATGACATACTTGCTCAGGTCAGTTGCCATTTATGTTTTGTTTTCTTGGTTTGGAAAGGATTTTGGTTTGTTTGAAATATTTCAGTTCTTGAAGACTTGAATTTCTTCTTAGGTTTCACCCGCATGTGTTAGCTTTAAGTAGAAGTTAAGAGATGATGTAGGATAATCAACATTATCAACTTTAAGCTTTTTCCTTTTTGGGCTCCTTAATGCTGAAGCTTTTGGTTATAGTGGAATTTGAACTAATTTAAGTTCAATGAAATAGAAGGGTCCTTCGTAAGGGAACTTTTCCTCGAACTTTTTGGAGAAACTAACTGGGTCTATGGTGACTAGAAGGGAGGGAGTTTTTTGGTTTGCGGGCTTGTGTTTGTGATGAGACAAGATTTCTGGAAAAGGGGGTGGGGTATCTCGCTGAGCAGGTCGATATGAAGCTTATTTTTTTATTGTTATATTTTTTGTATTCATGTGTTTCACTAGACTTCCTTGTGAGTCCTTATGGTAGTTTGTGTGTTTGTTTATGATTTGGTTGCTATATATCGAGATAAGATTCTTTGCTAGTAAATAGAAATCTTAATGTGTGCATTTGTGTATGGATGATTGTTAGTGATCTGAACATCCATATGATGGGAATGTGAAGTTGATTTTTCCTCTACAAGATTTCTGCTGACATTAGAAATTAGGATTTTGTACATAATTGGTTATCAGACTTCTTGTTCGAGTAATCTCACTGGGCTTGAGCTATTTTAGGTGGCTATCAAATGATGCTTGCATCAATTAGTTTTGGCTGGCCTTTAGTAAGTAGATCAACAAGTGAAATCCAACATCTAACTGCACTTCCCTTTCACAGTTATTCTCCTAATGCAGAAAACAATTTCAGGATCCTTGTCATGTGTCATTATTTTTAATTATAGTGAACTTTACTGCTTTATTACTTAATTTTACCATGTGTTTTTGGCCATTTTCGTCATGTATTGATGATTTTTTGTTTATTTGCGGGCTTGGCATTTTCATAGGTGGCAACAAAAACAGAGTCAAACAAAAATGCAGGGAATGCGATTTTATATGAATGTGTTGAGACTATTATGAGCATTGAAGATAACGGCGGCTTACGAGTGCTTGCTATAAATATCTTGGGAAGATTTTTGTCAAACCGTGACAACAATATCAGGTTGTTGTCAAACAACAAGAATATTTTGTTTACGACATTTTCACTCAGATTCAATTTTTAATTATATCAAATTGCTCAGGGTATGCTCTGCATATATATTTACGACATTTTCACTCAGAATCATTGTTTAATTATATCAAATTGCCTCAGGGTATGCTCTTGCATATATATATAATAGTATATTATATATATATATATAGGAGGAATTTATCTGTCACAAATATGTTTGTGTTTGTTTCTTTCATTACTCTTGATTTGCTGATCCTTTTGAATTGTTGTGCTAACCATGTTCATATTTAGTGATGTTATCTGCCTTTTTGTTGCTACGCAATTAAGGGAATCTATGAACTTGTTGAAACAAATGACTCGAGCTTTTACGCTATGTTAAAATTCTCACTGGAGCAGGTGATGCATTTGAGCGTGTGTGTGGGTGTGCCTTTGTGAAGTGAGGGAGGTGACACATTTGTGTGTTGATAGCTGTCTAGGCACCCTAGGCACCCTACTTGATGTAAGTTGGGATTTGGTGCATGTGGAGTTCTTAGTAAAAGGAAATCTTTGTCTAACTCAAGCTGTTTAACATTGATGTCTGACCATCTGAAGTTTCTTGGATTCTTAAATGTGTTTTTTGGGAACATATAGCAGTTATACATTTCATGAATTGTATTTTTCTTTTTTAGATCAATAACCTTGATTTTTAATTTTTTGTGCTCTTTGTTTTTTGGATTGCTCAACCAAAATATAGAACTCATTCTTTCATTTGTTTCAGGTATGTTGCATTAAACATGCTGATGAAGGCCATGACTGTAGATTCTCAAGCAGTGCAAAGGCATAGGGCAACAATCTTGGAATGTGTTAAGGTATGTGTGCTTATGCTCCTCTGTTAATCGTTAAAGAAACGAACATTGAAAATATCAATTATATTCATGAAAATTTTTGGGTATCACTAACACCAAAAATGAAAAGATGTATGCAATAAGAAGTTAGATGTTCTGGATGAAGTTGCTGGTATTTTAATATGTCTATTTTTTATTAAAAGAAAAACAATTTAGAACAAAAGTAGGAGGGGAGAAAGAAGAGAGAGAAGTGTTGCTGTAATAATACCTTTTTTTAAATTTTTATAATATTTTCTACAGATAGATGAAGTTACTGAATTGAGAGTGATTTATAAGGTTGGGTTGACATCGTAACAATTTTTATTTTAGGGTCAATTTTGAAAGTTGAGTTATAGGTTGGTTTTTTCTTTCTTTTTTTCATGCCAGTCCATCTTCTTACAGTTTGGTATTTGTCTGTAATTTGAATTTTTGGTTGAGTTGCAAGCCGAATCTGATGTATTTGCTTAATACTGCTGACAAAACTGAATCTCTGAACAACTTAGGAAGCCAGTGATTTGGCCTTTTTTTCCTTTCAGGATTCGGATGCTTCAATCCGTAAAAGAGCCCTTGAACTTGTCTACCTCCTAGTGAATGAAACCAATGTAAAGCCTTTGACAAAAGAGCTAATTGAATATTTGGAAGTAAGTGATCAAGAATTTAAGGGAGATCTTACTGCCAAAATTTGCTCCATTGTTGAGAAGTAAGTTATGGAGCTGATAAATTATTATTTATAGTTGTTCCTCTGGTTATTGGATATATTACATGGATTTTCTCAAATTTGCCGAATTGCTGCATTATTTCAATGGACATGATATTGAATCCACCTTTTTGTGAAAGAAGGGAATCAGTAGTATCCTTCATGTATAGTATTTATACTTGGCATATAATTAATGACTGATCTATAATGAGATACCATAGGCGATTAAAAATAGTGTTTTGAATGCCTTCTTTTTTTTTTTTTTTTTTTTTTTTTTTAAAATAGTGTTTTGAATGCCTTCTTTTTTGTTTTTTTTTTTTTTTTTTTTGTGGAATGCATTCCTAAGTAATCTTGCCCAGTAGTTAAGCTGTGTGTCTCAGCAGTTTTTTTTTTTTTTTTTTTTTTTTTTTTTGGTGGAATGCATTGCCTAAGTAATTGCCAGTAGTTAAGCTGTGTGTCTCAGCAGTTTTTTCCATAATAGCAAAACAACCATTTAATTTATTTTTGCTACACATGCATCTACATTTCATATTTCCAGATAGTTTTCCCTCATTCATATTTTTCTTGTTTATTCCCATAATGGAAAATATTGATTTAGTTGTTCTATGCTACATCCCTATTTGCTTATATGAGCCCTCTTATATACGGAGGGACAGAGGGTAATATAATCGAATTCAGTTTACCATAAGTCATTTAGAACTACGGCACAAAGATGTTTAATTTGCTTACTTCTGCATTTTGTTGTTTTAGGTTCTCCCCTGAGAAAATATGGTACATTGATCAAATGCTCAAGGTTCTCACTGAGGTAAAAACTGAAGGCTATATCTTTTTCTCATCACTTCTGTTACATGCTTTAAGTTTGCTTGGGACGTTTCAATGTTTTGATTGCTCAAATAAGCCTTAGTTCTTTTCTTCTATGTGTTATATTTAGCTTCAGGCATTGATCATTTTTTTACCCTCTTCATATTTCTTGTTCTATAATCATCCTCCTTAGCAATTTCATATGCAACTGCAGTCCCTGAATTGTTTGAGAACTTGTAAGTGCAATTTATTTCAAACGAAATCATGAAGAAGGATGAGCTCTAGAATAATAAATTGAGTATATCACAGACCAATCCCTCATTCATATGGCATCAATTCCTTTGATGCAATCTTTTCTAGTGATATATTTTATTGTTAATATTCTGATCTGAATGTATGCTTAGTAGGCTGGAAATTTTGTAAAAGATGAAGTGTGGCACGCCCTTATTGTTGTGATAAGCAATGCCTCTGACCTCCATGGATATACAGTCAGAGCATTATACAGAGCATTTCAAACATCAGCTGAACAGGTATTCAATGTTGCCTTCCGATAGTTATGTCTCTTTGGAACCTATTGAACATTCAGGTGTGCATTGTTAAGAAGAAAAATGTGTGATATCAGTATCGCTCTTTTTGAAGGATTGTTCAAATATTTTCATCAGGAAACCCTTGTTCGAGTGGCAGTTTGGTGCATTGGAGAATATGGTGACTTGTTGGTCAACAATGCTGGGGTGCTTGACATAGAGGATCCTATAACTGTAAGTATAATCTTACCCATATATCAACTTGTATGAAGTTACTGTGTTCTTATTCAAATGGAGTATTGGACTTCAGCAAAGCAGTATTATAACAAGTCCTAGCATGCTCTTAACAACAGGAGCTTTTAATCAAAATTTATTGAAGAAATACTATTGTGAATTTGCTTTGTTATTTTTTCCATAGTCTCTACCTGACATCAAAACATGGGATTTAGAACAACGCAGACTCACTGTCAGTCTGTGATATTCAGACATTGGAACTGTTAAAATGTGCTATTGCCATCCCCTGCATATGCTTCGTGTTCGACTTTTTGTGTGATTTCTTGTGGATCCAGTGCTACAAGTATGTTGCTGACATACAGAAATCCGAAAATAAGTGTCAGCACTGAAATAAGTGATATTGGAATGGTCTCATGTTCCTGTTCTTTCCATTTGTTATTAGAGATTAAAAACCTCAGTATTGGAATATATATTAGCATTGATTCCTTATTCATCACCCCCTGCCCTCCACCACAACACCCCCACCCCCTGCCTCCACCACAACACCCCCCCCCCCAACCCCAAAAAAAAAAAAAAGAAAAGTAGATAGTAAGAGAAGTATGTTGGTTAAGATTATTCGATGTCGGTATTGTTCAGCTCTCTCTTCTTGTTTAAATGGTCCTGCGTAAATTGAATTTCTAAACCAGGGTAAAACAGAGTCTGATGCTGTAAGATGGTTGTTTTGAAATTGTCCCGTGAGGTAAAAGCGTCATTGCTTTTCGTGATCTCACTACTAAAGCAGACCCCCCCCCCCCCCCAACCCCAAAAAAAAAAAAAGAAAGGTAGATAGGTAGAGAGAATATGTTGGTTAGATTATTCATGGTCGGTATTGTTTCAGCTCTCTCTTCTTGTTTAAATGGCCTGCTAAATTTGAATTTTCTAACCAGGTAACAGAGTCTGATGCTGTGGATGTTGTTGAAATTGCTATAAAGCGTCATGCTTCTGATCTCACTACTAAAGCAATGGCTTTGATTGCTCTTTTAAAGCTCTCTTCCCGCTTCCCATCTTGTTCAGAGTATGTTGTTTGTTGCTTCCTTTGCAATTTTGCTACTCTTTCTTTCCTTGCAATTTTATAGTTGCTCTTCTCATTGCCTTCCATTTTATTAAGCTGCATGAATTGAAGTTTGTGGAAACTCATAGAAGAGGTTATACACATTTATTGATGTCCCACCTGCATAGACACTGCAAATTAGATGGAACTTATTACCACGATTTTTTCAGAAGTGACATGCCACAATTAGTTGCATAAGGATATTTACGTTTGTATGAATTTTCCTTGACAATTGTGCTAGTCATGAGCTTAAACTTAAATGGAAATAAAATATATTCGTCGTGTGGATATGTTTTGAAATTATTCCTTGTGAACACGTCCCAGGCATTTTTAGTTGGAGACCCTATATAGCAATTTTTTTATAAATGATTTAATCATGCAACTCCCTTTTGTTCTTATGAAGTGAAAAATTAAACTGTACTTTTTGATGATATTGTGGGAAGACTTGTAATATATGGCCTTGAATAATTTTGTAGGAGGATTAAGGGTATAATTGTCCAATGTAAAGGAAGCCTTGTGCTCGAATTGCAGCAAAGATCTCTTGAATTCAATTCTATTATTGAGAAGCACCAAAATATCAGGTTCCAATCAAAAATTTTCCTGCTTTAGCTTATTATCCTTCTAAAGTTTCCTAAAATACTGCAATCTAATCGATTCTTATACTTTTGGTTGAGTCCATGCATGCAGATCTACTCTCGTTGAAAGGATGCCAGTTTTGGATGAGGCTACTTTCAGTGGAAGGAGGGCTGGTTCCTTGCCAGCAACTGTTTCAACATCAAGTGGAGCATCACTTAATCTTCCAAATGGAGTTGCTAAGCCCTCTGCAGCTCCTCTTGTAGATTTACTTGATCTTTCAGATGATGCACCTGCACCTAGCTCATCTGGTGGTGACTTTCTTCATGATCTTCTTGGTGTTGATTTATCACCAGCTTCAACACAACCAGGTTAGATTGGGATATTTTGTGGTGTAAACCAGGAACATATTCAAAACTGAACCTTTTAGTTTCTAAGAACCTACTTTTTCTTTTTATAGTCTATCCATTCTCATTTGCCTCAGGCCAGGTTACACGAGTATGAAATGGTATTGTTTGGTTACTTTTTCTGATGCACCATCTTCAACCCTATCCCCAATATGAGATGGGATTCAGTTAAAATCATATTCCTATTAGGTCGAAAATGAGATGTTCCAAATATAATGCATGTTCTTATCATCTTGAATGTTAACTAACAACTAACGGTGTCATAAAATAAGATCTTATAGACATTTGTAATTTTGGTTGAACTAGATGTAGATTTAGTGGGCATGGATCTAAATGGTTTCATAGGTGTGACACATTACAAGTTCATCCGACTCTTTTGGTTTAAATGCTGTTCAAATCTATAAATAATTCATTCCTTGAATTTTTTGAGAATTTGAGAGCAGTAAAAGAGAAGTGTCCAGGGCTTCAATTTTGTCAATTATTCTTATTGATTTTCATGTGTTATTAACCGATTAACTCGTGCTATGCCGCGTTGATCTTTGCATAAAGCATCATATTCTTCAACTTCCTTTTGGGGAACTGTTCATCAGTTTAGATATTCAGTTGTTGGACAAGGAGCTTGCTTTTAAAGTTGAATTGTTTTTCTAATAATAATTATATATTCCGCTTATTGTTGATGAGTTATGCTAATGCTATTGGTTGTAATGTGTTTTTTAGGCACAAACCAGGCTCCAAAAACAAGCACAGATGTTCTTCTAGATCTATTGTCTATCGGAACAACCCTTCCTGTACAAACCGGTCCATCTACACCTGACATATTATTATCTGGTCAAGATAACCAAACGCCAATTGCTGCATTAGATGCACTCTCATTATCCTTACCTTCTGTGCCAGCCAATTCTTCTGTTGGACCTTCTCCTGTGATGGATTTGTTGGATGGCTTTGCTCCTAGCCCATCAAAAAGTGGTGAGTTAACGTCCGCCTTGAAATTCTGTTTGGCTGCTTTTTAACATCAATATACTGATTAACGGTATCTTCCTTGAACAGAGGACAATGGTCCAGTTTATCCATCTATAGTTGCATTTGAAAGCAGCAACTTGAGGATGACATTTAACTTCTCAAAACCACCTGGGAACCCTCAAACAACATTAGTTCAGGCCACTTTTGTAAATTTGACACAGACTGCATTTACAGATTTTGTTTTCCAGGCAGCAGTTCCAAAGGTAACTCCGAAGTTGTTCAATGAGCATTCAATTTTTCAATTTGGTTTCTCATAATCTGTTTCTGTCCTATGCAGCATGAAGTTGTGTTTTATTTCCTATTTTTTCCTTGTCTTGATTTTAAGGACCTTAAATGTTAAAGCTTGTTGTGTGCATAAAAATGGCTACGATTTTTGGTTAATTGATTTGTGGTCTGAAACTATATCGATCCAGTTATTGTTTGAAACTTTTCATGTTTCTCTCAACATGCCTTTCTGATATTTTTCTGTTATCAATCTGCAGTTCCTTCAGCTGCACTTAGATCCAGCTAGCAGCAATAAACTACCTGCAAGTGGTAATGGATCAGTCACACAAAGTTTGAGAGTAACTAACAGCCAACATGGCAAGGTATATGTGTTGCATTTTCTTTTAAGATTGCTCAATGTCCATTTTCTGAATTCCAGAGCATTTTAAATTTTCAGAGACAAAAATATCATCTAATATATCAGGTTTTCCTGTAACCAGCTTGTTTTTCTTTATGGGAAACTTATGTTCAGTTGATTTGGTTTATTACACTGTATATGATTTGGACTTTGGTCAATGCTTGTAGCTTTATACTTTTCTTATTTTTCCTGGTTTGCCTACCTGTATCACGTAACCCATTACCAACCTTAGATCTGTTCCCTTTGAACAACCGCAAGTTCCTTTTAGATTTACTATTCTCGGTGAGAATTGAGTGTCTTTGAACTGACATCTAGCGGGGAGTTGTTGTGTTTAAAGAGAACTTACTGGTTATTCAATCTTCCCACTTCAAAATCTATTTCTATATGTTTCTTTATTTTGGCAACCAATGAAGCAAAATAAATGATATCTTACTCCCTTTGGCTGCCTACCTAGCTTTGCTTAATTGAATTATTGTCTATTAACGATCAACTTTCCTAAACAGAAAGGTGGATATTAGGGACTTATTCTCTCACTTTAGTTTTTAAAATTGAGCTAGAAATATAATAACTTTTTGCAGTGGCAATCTGAAATTTCACTTTGTACTTGCTATTTGTATTTCAACCACTACATAACTTTTCCCAATTTCTTGTTTTGGCTCTACTTAATTTTATATTTCTTTCTTTTCCCTTGTTTCCTAACTATGTGGTGGTATTAGATGGTTACATAATTCATGTTTATTTCCAGAAATCACTTGTGATGCGCATAAGGATAGCTTACAAGATGAACAGCAAAGATATGTTGGAAGAAGGACAAATCAACAACTTCCCTCGGGATTTATGAAGTTAATTGGTTGAGAAAGTGTTAATGATGCTATGTATGAGCTTCAAATTTTTTGGCCTCTGAAAAAGCTTCATTTTACCGTTCGTAGTGGTAGCAAAAAATTATCTTGTTTCTATTTTTCTACTCCAGGGCAATATTGTAGCAGTTGAGATTTTTGGCTTGTGTTTGGGATTCTGCCCCAGATCTCTCACACTTTTCCCCTATTCTTTCCCCTTAGGTGATTTGTGTACATTATTACAAGATTTCTGTACGCAGTTGTGAGAATTAAATTTTGCCTTTTGAGGCTCATAGAGAAAGGATCTGATGCCATAATGAAACTTTTTGAGTTGCTGTGTAGTGGTTTTTGAACTCTCCGCAGGTCTTGTTTAAGTTCATATTTTCTTCCTTTCAATTTCAAACAATGACATTGTAATATATATTAATTTTGCACTTTCAGTGGATCCATTTGTTACATATTAAGCGTAATTTACTAATCCACATTGAATCTTAATCTGCTTCAATTTAAACAAACGGTCCTCTCTCCCAAGGCAAAAGGGAAGTTTTATACACAGCTATACAGTTTTTTAATATTTAAATAAATGGATTTGCTTTTAGCTCGTAAATGTTGAAGGGCTTCTTAGCTGGCACTGACTTGAAGTTTACGGGAATGCCGTTATATATGGACGACAGCTGATAATATCTGTCGTTTCAAATTTATTTTTTTATCAGTGTTATATTATATATATTTATAAAGTGACAACAGATCCTACAAAAATGATATAGGATTCTCTTCTCAACTGCCCATTAATATATGCTGATTACTTGGAATAAGGAAATCTATGCTTAGGTCTCTGCTCAACGCACTAACCACTCTCTCTCTCTCTCTCTCTCTCGACAGTCTATTATTTTGCATTATTACATCAAGATGACATGGGATATATATCATATTTACTTGCTGTATGTGACTTGTGGAGTTGGCATTATTACAATGATCTCTACTTGCCAACAACTACTGATGCAATCATTTCCATCTTTTTGGCTTACCTGATGCCTATCATCTTATATTAGCAGCTACAGTTGCACATGGCTCAGTGGGTGTGGTTCAAAATCAAACTGCACTTCTTATGGATTTTGTCCTCTTAAATCCAGATGTGCTCATTTCTGTGAGTTCAATTACCAATTACTTCATTTTTTTATCATGTAAAATACAATGCAGAAAGTTTCAACCTTTAATCTTCAATCTAAAATCATTAATCTCTAATACCATGCACAAGTAATTTAATTAATAACTCAAAGGTTTTATTATCTATTAAAAGAAAGAAAAAAACACATGCGCTCTTTATTATTTATTTATTGAAAGGTATTTTTTAATAGAAAAGAAATATGTTTTTCTCTTTAGTTAAGTTAATCATTTTTTGATGGGCGGGGCACAGCACGGCATTGGGAGGGCACTCCATGACCCTACACTTCAACCCCACATTTCATGTCAACGATCCAAATTATGGCTCCTCATCACAAGAGTCCCTTAAATCACTTTTCACGGATCCCACCATCATCACTCAACCCAGGAGAAAAAAAAAAATGTTTTAGCTGAAAGAGACGAGGGAGAGATTATACGCCCTTCGTAAAGCAACACGAGACTCTGACTGACCATATTACAACCCTAGATTACCAAGGCAAGGCCTCAAAGCACTTTTCATTTTAAGCAGTCTTCTCTTCCATTCCCGGCGGAAAATGGGACTCTGGATCCTATCACAGTTCAATTATTCAGAAAAAAGACACATACATTGAGTGGGTGTGTAAATATATTTTTTTTTTTCCCATGGAAAAATAAAGGATAAATATTTTATTAATAAATAATTTTTGAAATTTGATTTAACCATTGATTAGGCGTACAAGACAACTGCCTATACCTACTAAAGTCAAGAATTTTCAAATATCACCAGCAGGGCTTTTGGAAAATGCTAGTTTGCCCTTAAAAATTCCATAAAACCAAACCCAGGAAGTACCATACACGAAGGACTAAAGTTAATACAAAAAAGAATAGCATTTTCTCTGAAAAAGAGAAAGATAAAAGTAACATTACCACTTCCCACTAAAGTGTTACATTAAAGAAGAAAAATTCTCAGAAGCTGCATTGCAGTGAAAAGTGAACAATTAATAATCAAATTAAAGATGAAAATAAAGCAAAAGCCACAAAAGAAATGTGTTAAATAATTCGATTCATTTATGTTATGTGAACAGTACAAATTACAAAGAAAGCACAGAAAAACAGTACCTTCATGTACTCTGGGTTCTATAACTCCATGGCATACCCACAGCTAAAGAAGAAGTACCCATTGGGGTTTCTACTGAAGGACTTGGGAATTTACCTTTCCTAGACCATTGCCATACCTTGGAAACTGAAAAGCTTTCACCTTTGCTTCTAATGTTAATCTTCTTCCCTTCAACATCCCCATCAACTGATGAATTCCCATTTTGTCCATTTCTTCCTTTCACAATTTTAACACCTCTATCAGGAAGTAAAGCCACTTGCAAATCTAAATCAGCAACAATATATTGGTATGACCCCATTGAAAAACATCGTCTTGCATCTAAATTACTACTGCTGGTCTCTCCAATTCCTCTTTCTACTGCTTCATTATTTGAGCCTTTAAATTTCCCTAATCTAACAGAAAAAACTCTCTTGGAATTGATTCTCTCATTCTCTACTGGTTTTTGGCCTAAAGAGACTCCATTTGCTGAATTGCTTGAAAACCCATCTTCTTCCCTCTGTTCTTCAAAATCAAAAACAGGGTTTTCAAAAGGAAGCCCTGGTGTATAAAGGGTACCTCTACAAAGGGGGCAAGTTGAATTAGACAATAGCCAAGTGTCTATACAATCAATGTGGAAAGCATGACTACAAGAAGGGAGCAATCTCAAGTTGTCTTTCTCAGAGAATTCACAAAGGCAAACAGCACAATCAAATGGCTCTTTTAGACCCATAATTTCTTCATAGAGAAAAACAGGCAATGCATCAATAAAAGCTTGATCCAGTCCCGAATCATGAAGATGGAAGAGTTGTTGTAACTGTCTTTGGAAAGCATCAGACCCTGACATTTCTGGGTATCTATTGGATTCAGAGACTGAAGAAGAAGTGGAAGAAGATCTATGCTTCATGAGAAATCTAACAAGCAAGTGGAGGAGACCAGAAATGAAAAATATAACAGCTAGAATTACTATAATAAAAAGGATAGCTGGGCTTATTTTGTTACCAGAAGAAGATTGTTTCTGGTAATCACTATTATATGGAAACGAAGGAGAAGATGAGGAAGGAGAGGAAGAAGATGAATGCAAATAGTGAGGATGGTAAGACAAGTCACCAGCTTTTTGCATAATTTGAGACTCAATCCAAGACATTTTGCTTGATTAACATACAAAACCACAGTCAATTTTTCCTTTCTTTCTTTGATTAAACAGTGGTATTGTCACCCATATATTCCTCGCTCTTTGAGATCAAACCAAACGCATATATTGAAGTAAACAAGCAAAGGCACAATATTTTTTACATTTGCAAGAAACCCAGTTCATTTCACTCTCAAGAATTTGAAGAGAACCTTTTGAAATCAAAATGATTGCTTAAATATGAGATTTTGGAGATTAAAAAAAAAAAAAAAAAAAAGATGCCATTTTGTGCCCTTGCTTTGACATGAAACACAACTCATTAGTTTACAAGTAAACTGAAAAAAAAAAACCTTTTACCCCTTTTAAGATGTAGTTGTCATTTACCTACCTCAGTCCCCGAAAAAAACAATCTGCCATTAATGGAGCTAATTATTCACTTTGATGAGTCTAGCTTGGACAGTGCTTGTTGCAGAGTCCGAAAAACAAAAATGAAAAGAAAAAAACAAAAAAGAAAGCAAGAAAACCCTAATAAGAGCAATGGAAACTCTTTTGAGGGGTTTATAATATTTCTTTATATATTTTAGAAGGAAAAAGAGAAGGGGATGAAAATGGAGGAGCAGTGGAACAGCCGAACGGGCTAGTAGCTTCCAAAAATGAATTTGTCCAGGGACCCATAAAGAACGGTAATTTATAAACATTATTATCCTTTTTTACTAATATTTTATTTCTTGTGTTGTGTCACGGAAAGTTATCGATCAATGATAGCAATCGCCCCTTTCATTTTCTTTCCGCCACAGACTTTTCCTTTTAAGCCGTGAAAGAGAGGAAAAAAACATATAAAAGTGGAAACTAAAAAAACATAGTGCTGAGTTTTGTTTTTTCTGCTCTTGTTTTTTTTTTTTTTTTTTAAATGTAATTTATTAATAATAATATTAAGAAGTATAAATAAACATAAAGACCAGATATAGAATTTTAATAATGAATAGAGTTCGCTGATCTTTTAATGAAAAAAATGAATTTATATCTTTTTGAATAATGAAACTAAAACTAAAAAATAATATTAGATATTTCCACTTAGAATTGATCTTGATAAAAAATATAAATCTTCATAGCAGTAACTAGTCCATTAATTGATTTAGACGTTAAATAATAACTATTTTGGATCTTATATAACTATATTATTTTTTCAATAATTTGCAACATATAACGAATACAGATGAGTTTCCACTGCTTGCCAACAATATCAATGGAGGAACAGACCGCATTACCATACTCTATTGATTGAAGATCCACATCTAAAAATCAAGATCTAAAACCTCCAAGAAAATAAAATAAAATATTATAATTTTTATTTAGTGATAAATCCTCACGGAGAGGGACTATCATCATAAAAAATGGAGAAAGAAAACTCTAAATATGGACACAACCAACAAAAAAAAAAAAGGAAAAAATAGATATGTTGTAGAAAAAATAAATTTGAGTTTATAAAGCAAAAGAAGATGAAGCGGAAAAGATAATAAAAAATAAGAGGTAGGGACTATTGCTAAAAAACAGCAGCAACCCGAAGCAAGAATTAGGGTTAGAAAATTAGAGAAAAAAGAAAGAAAAAGAGAAATATTTTTCTTCTTTTGTTTTGATACCATGCTAAGAAAGAAAATTGAGAAGAAAATTTATTTTGTATGGATCAAGAAAAATATTTACCTTATAATAAAATATTTGTCACTATGTTGTTTCAAATAAAATAAATGTTATAGGGTAATAATTGTGATTCCCATGTGATGTTTTCACCATTTGTTCTTTGTTCTTTCTATTTTCTCTCTTTTTACTCATGAAGTAAGGGAATGTGTTTTTTTTTTTTTTTTAAAAAAAAAAAATTATTTTGTATGATCAAGAAAAAATATTTTACCTTATAATAAAAATATTTGTCACTATGTTGTTTCAAAATAAAATAAATGTTATTAGGGTAAATAATTGGATTCCCATGTTGAATGTTTTCACAATTTGTTCTTTGTTCTGTTCTAATTTTCTCTCTTTACTCATGAAGTAAGGAATGTGTTTTTTTTTTTTTTTTTTTTTTTTTTTTTAAAAAAAAAAAAGGAAATTTGCCTTAATTTCCATTCCCAAACATCTTCTCCTTATTTCCTTACTTTTAATATATAGAAGTCGTTTAGATAGTGAAATTTAAGCGCTTTATAAATTTACTGAATTCTTCTATTTTGTTGAGAAAAAAAAATGTCAAAATCTATAGAACTGATAAATCCAACCGTGAATTTAATTTCACCATTTTAGAAAAATTAAAAAATAAATCCACGTTGGAGATAAAATTCTATAATTCTATTTTTTTCTATTAATATTAAAATTTAAACCATTTATTTCATTACAAAAATACTCTTCAAATCTAATAGTTTTATTTTCAGACAATATATAAATTTCACAAAATTCATGAAAAGAAATTTCAACAATCTAAATGACTATATAATGCTTATTACACATGTTGTTACGAACAATTCTCAACGTGATACTTCTAGGGCTTATATTTATATAGACATGGCCCTCGAAATGCTTCCATTATATAATTTGATTTGGTTAAATATATATATATATATATTTTTTTTTTTATAAAATTGCCATTAAAAAATTTTACTTTGATAAATTTATTAATCAAAGACTTGTTTAAATATATATATATATATATTTTTTTTTATTAAATTGCCATTAAAAATTTTACTTTGAATAAATTTATAAATCAAAGACTTGTTACTTTATTAACTATCATGGGTGTAAGGGGAGCCCAAACCTCAAAGCTCCAATGGTTTTTGAAATTTTACTTTATAAAATGGTGTAAAAATATTTTTTCTTAATTTGACTCCCCAAATTTTTGAAAATTTTCTTTTTGCCCTTCTTAATCTTAATTGTAAGGTCAAGCTATGCCCTCCTTAACTAATGTATTTCTATATTATAGCAGTTATGTATTTTTTTCAATCACTTAGAAATTATTATATTTATCGAATAACATATATCATCATTTTATAAAGTGATTATTGAAAAATATGTTTATTGTTATTTATGTTTGATTCTAAATGAATTAATACATTATGAGTATTTTATCATTCTTTCTATCCATTAAAAATATTTTGATTGCAGTAATTTGCATTTTTTTACAATTGAGCCTTTGATAATTTAACGCTATCAATTTATATTGATACGTAAGGAGATATAAGTCAAGTAACTTGTAAGCCGCTTGATATTTAATTTGAAAAAAAAAAAATATATCTAAATTCATTTCAAATTTAACGAGTGAAGTTTGAGCTTGAAAAGAGATAATTTTTTTAATTATAAATTATAAATAAGCTGAATTCGAGTTTAATTTTTCAACGGAGCTTAAATTTGAATGTACCTTTGTTGAGTAACTCTTGATGCTCATAAGATATCATTAGTTCAATATCATATTAGCATAAATTGACAAGCAAGTAGCAGGTAGTACTAGTAACTATCAAATGCTTCGATAAGAGAACTTTTAGCCCAACCAAGCCCAAAGCCCAATGCAAAAAGAAATAACAACCGACGTTTGACGAGCTGAGCCCTGAGGGGAAAGCCCATTCTATTGACGAGCCAAAGCCCAATACACCAATGCTTCGATTATTGAAATTCTATTCTGTCACGACACACATATTGAACGTGTGACAGTATATGATTCATAGAACCATGTGCAAACAACAAGCTTCTTCCTGTTGGATACCCACTAAAAACAAATGCTTTTAGATTAATTTTAAATCAAAATTAAAATTCATATTTCTCATCTGTCCCTCGTTTCATATTTAATTAATAATGTTTGCGTAATACTTAAAAATACAAAATCCATTTACTTATTTTGTGCATTTAACAAATAATTGGCATAAAATAATTTGTTTTATAATTTTTATTTAGTAATTAAATATTCGTTATAAATTCAATTATAATAGTAAAATATTGAAATATCTCAATTGTGTAATAAAAACGGGCCAGAAATTGACATTCAAAGATTGAAAGCCCCAATTCTTAGTATGGACAATGATGTTGAATGGCCCAATTCAAAATATAGGCAGTGGGTTCATAATATTTTTCTCCATGGTCCTTGAGAAAGAGAAAATTTCAATTCCACGAAACCAAATATTCATTTCTTGCCTACTTTACCCAAAAGAGAATTATTTACGATCCAAGGAAATAAAAAAAAAAAGGACAAACTAGTAAAAACTTGTAATATTTTTCTAAATAATAATCAATTATTAGCTTAATATAAGAATAATCCCATACACCAGGGTAGGCAAGGATTGTGCTAGCTTGGGGTTTGCATACATAGATATATATATATAAGAAAACAAAAGAAAAGAGATGGAGAGACCTTGATATATAAAGCTGCAACTGAAATATTATAGAAATTGTATGGCTGGCAGTAAGCAATAATAAAGCAATTGAAAAGATGGTAGGACATGGTTATGGTATGAAAATTGCAAATCGTGTCTTCATATGTACATACAGACCTTCCCTCCATTGGGTTTATATATGTTATGTCATCCATAGATAGCCAGTAGGTAGCCATTGCTTGTCTTGTGTACATGTGGTTTGATTTAATGTTGTTTGGACAGTTGTTTGCAGTTCTTAGGTTTGGTCTGGTTTAATTCTATGCTTAATTTGTTGGAGAAGCAGTTTTTATTACAAGATTTGGAAAAAGAGAACTTCTCTTACAGCTAATGGATTTGCTTTTATTAATCAATAAGCAGAGTGCCATTATAAATTAAATTATTATATATGAATATAAGCATGGTTTGCTCTGTGGGTCCAGAAGAATACAAGTAAATTAGAACAGCCCTAATAAATTGCTCCTACCGACAGTCCTGCCGACCTTGATATCCATGAGAGAGCACTTGGGAATGTTTTTTTACATCTATATATCTATGTGTGTGTATTACTCCTTCAAGTGTCACTTGTAGTTATTAATTAATTAATTTATACATTCCATTTTTTAATGAGTGGATATGAAATTCATTCAAATTTTTTTTAATATAGAATTAATGAATAAATTTTACAGTATACACTCGATTCACTTAACCATATATATATGATTATCAGTGTATCAACTAGTATTGAAAACATAAAATAATTAGATTTTTGATATATATTTATTGAATGCGAATGATGCATTTATATATTTCAACATTGATAAGGTTTTGAATTCATTAAATGTTTATTTGATTAGAATGGATCATTATATGTGAAATTTTCACATTAAGCTTTCTTTTTGGAAGATGCTAAGCTAAAATATTAAAAGAGAGAAGAAATGTATCTGTACTTAGCTAGTACTTGTACTAGTGCAGCAGGCTTCATATGACTGGTTATCCTTCAATTTAAGGCTTTGAAGAGAGAGAGAGAGAGAGAGAGAGAGAGAGAGAGAGAAAGAGGTAATCTGAATAGCCAAAGAATGAATGTGAAAGTGCTCCAAGAAAATTAATAATAAGGAGTCCTGAAAGCAAATATGCAAGAAGAAGAGATCAAAAGGCTATATATAGAGCTAAAAATCTTACTCAAAGAATCAAGATTGCCGGTGTCTTAACGCTTCATATTGTACTATTTTAAGTTTTAGAAAAGCAAAATTCCAATAATAAAGAAACTAATTAACTAGCTGCTGCTGGTGTAAAATCTTGATAATTGCATAGATAGATAATGAAACAAGCTACAAGAAAAGAACATGCATTAACTTATAATCGTATTACAGAAGTAATATACTCAATAATCAAGTCTATATTATAAATTAAACTTAATATATATGCCGAAAAAATAATTAGAAAAAAAAAAGACATACGCTACTATATCAAGCTTTGGATCATGGCGTGTAAATCTTGGAAAGCGCTTGCAAAACATTAACTTGCAACCTCAACTGCAATATATAATCAGCCGTTCTTAAAAAAAGGTGGTCGGGCTGCAACCCTTTTCCACCTGGAATTAATCTCTGCAATTTCTTCACCTTACTTCTAACCGACCCGCGAACAGCTCTTCTCCGTCTTCTCTTCCACTTTACCTTGCTAAAATCTCTGCACTCATTATTGTTCTCCATATTGCTGTGTCTTTTTGTATAGAAAATTGAAAAAGTAAAGGCAATGCAGGCAGGCTAGTTATATTGTAGCTTTCTTTAAGTTCATAGAGAGAAAATAAAGCTCAAAAAAAAAAAAAAAAAAACTTTTTGCTATAGAAAATTGAAAAAAAAGTAAAGGGCAATGCAGGCAGGCTAGGTTATATTTGTAGCTTCTTTAAGTTCATAGAGAGAAAATAAAGCTCAAAAAAAAAAAAAAAAATAAAGGAAGGAGGATTAAAAAAAAAAAAAAAAAAAATAAAGGAAGGAGGATTACAGAGAACTTTGAAATTTGAAAAGATGCAGAGAGGAGATGAGAGAAAAGGAGAGCTACAAAATGATGAGAAAGGGTGAGGAGTTGTGTGTGATAGTTATAGTTATAGGACGGGCCATGTGAGCCGGGCCATGTGAGCCAAGCCATGAAAATCACATTAGAGTTGTTTTTTCAATTTTTATTTATTTGTTTTTAATTTTTATTTTGGACGCTAATGAAATTAAAAAAGAAAAAAAGAAAATTATTTTTGTAGAGATTTCGATGACACGCTCAATATTTTGTCGTTTTGCAAGATGTGGAGGTTTGTGGTTTGTGGATTTGCGGTGGAGTGGGGTCCGTTTTTGCTTTTGCTTTCAACGACCTACGCACGTGTCTGACAGCTCTCTCGCACGCTCACGCCAGCCACTAACTCTCACTTCAACCATATAATCTGTCCTCGTAATCCCCGAATCCCGACAGTTACTTCTCTTACACGTGTATGAGCCACGTCACCTTCCAACCACTGTATTTATCTTAATGCAAACGATTTATTTTTAGATCGTTTAAAATAATTGCAAAAAAATTATTCAATTACTCTTAAGTATTTTTCTTAGAAAGAATTAATAAGTAAACTTTATCAATTTTTATAATAAAAAAATTTTTAAATAAAATTCGGATCTTGATGTTCCCTTTATCAATCTTGAATTTCAAAATACCTAACGGAAACGTAAAAATATATTTTAGATTTTCTTATAGATAGAATTCAATATTAATAAATATGTAGAGTGATATAATATTTTTTTTTTCTTATCATCGTTACAGGGGTGTGGCGGAAGAGTATTATCTAACACCCATATAATAATCTCATTGAGCACAAATTATTTAAATTAATTATGATGTTTTATTCTGGTATTTGGATAGAACACTTATAACAGTAATGATTTTGAGTTTTGAATTTGTGACTTTGCAGAAAAATATATTTTACTTTATCTAACACCCGTTAATAATAATATTACAATTGCTTCATAATGTAAATAATCATATCAATTACATATTTGATACTTTGATATATTAATTAATACTTTTCGATATCCTATATTAAGCCTTTTTTTTTAATTTTCCATTAAACATAATTATTTGCAAAGATACTAGATGATCTACAAATGAAAAATACATAAATTTATGATAGGATTTTAAATATTTAGCGTAGAGAAGAACAAAAAATAAAAAATGATTGTCAAAATTGAAACTCTGTGTTGGCCCTTTCAATATATATATATATATTTCATAATATTCTATATAATAGTTGATATTCAAAAAAATGCCAGTAACTATCTGTTGGACACCCATATTTCCCAAGCCCCTTATCTAGTTTATTTATCTAGTCCCATATATAATTTTTTAAAACTTTTATATTTTTGGGTGATAAGATGTAAGAAGTTCCTTATAGAATGGGAGATTGGGTTCACATGTGTGTGTAGTGATGAATCCAGTAATAGTGTCGTCCAACTGGGTTCCAGGTGTGAGCTGCTGAGCTGCAATCTATCGTGGATGATGTGATGAAATCTTGATGGTGGTGACCCACTAAACAAGTTGGGAAATTTTTTGACCATTTGATTAGATTTGTCATTTGGATCATACGGATCGAGTTCTCTAACTCCTTAAATCTTGATTGTCCACTGTATAAAATTTGAACAAAAAGTACTATAAAATGTTGGCTGGCAAAAATTGAATTCACTTGACAAGTAATGAATTCGATTGGATGCTTATATCAACTTGCTACCATACCATTGTTTAGAGGCTCAAAAATTCTGATATGGTCCCAATTGGATTTTTGTTTTTCAAGTACTAATCCATTATTGAAATCAAAGATTTCTTTTTTCCAAAATAGAAATGTAATAAAAAAAATCATCTTTCTTCTTCTGGGTATTTCTGATTAATATTATGATATTTTGGATTGAAAAATATTTAGAGTTGTGGGCAATATTTTGCCAACTAGTCCAATGCATGACTTTTAAGTCATGATGAGAAATTATTGTTATTATTATATATCATCAGTACGATTGATTTTGGGAATTTTTTTTATTTTTTTATTTTTTTGGATGTTAGTATACTGTTTCAGCTGTTTATAGTATGTATTGAACGTGCACGTTTCAATCAGATTATTGTAATGGGTCCAAAAGGAGAATATTGATTGTTCATCCATGTCTTCTTTCTAAACTTGCCACGGATTCAATCTAAGCTTTACTTAATTTAATATTGAGTTTCCAATTGGGAGAAGCTTCCTAATTAATTAATGATAGTAAAGAAAATATTCATTCTACCAGTTTCCAAACCATGTATAAAGCAAAATAGAGTAGTCTATCTCAACTCAGATATGCTACATACAATGGTAGAGCTTTACATACATGCATTAATTTCCATATATAAATCATGCTTTTCATACCTTTTGTGTAATAATTTATATATGATTTACTATTTTTCAATATATGTGATTTACAAGTAATTATGATTATTCATTCTCATAAGTATTTTTTCGTAAATTGAATTTTTGACTCTGTAGAAATCGTTGGATTATTACACGAGTCACTCTTAATGAATTATATACAAGAGATGCTTAGTTTAAGAATATAAACTATATGTATATATAATATATAACATGCATTATGAACAAACAAATGTTAAAAGATAAAAGAAAAAAGGGTTAACAACGACAAAGCCAAGTAGTATAGTTAGCAAGTCCCACATGCAAGCTTGGCAATTAAGCTTGGGAGGCTGAGCCACATGTTGTATAGTTGCATATAGAGATGATAGATCTAAGAAAATATTGGGAAAGATGTGGAAATAAAGGCTCAACTTCTATTGATTACATAAAAACAGATGTAGAGATATATATAGACATGGTTTGTGCAAAAAACATGCAGAAGCTATAAGCATATATGAATGAGCTAGCCAACGGTCCCCCAAGTGGTTCAGAAAGTTCCAGGGGTTCACGAGGGGACATTTAAAACCCTAGACTAAGCCATGTGATGGGTATGATCATGACTTTTGACAGATGTGTTATAACCCATTATATACATATACAGTACATGTGCATTAATTCCATTTATATTGCCTTAGATATTATTTACAATATATACATATATAATTTTCCTTTTTAAAAAAAAAAAAACAAACAAACAAAAAAAAAAGAGTATGCATATAACTGAAATGGTGCAAGTGGCTTGTGGGGTGAGTTATTACAGATAAAGGTGGGAGAGGAGACTGTAGCTAGCAACTGGGAAGAACTCATGTGCCTTGTCCTAGAAGGTAACATGTTCAGCCTGGAGTTTGATTAATTGAATTTGAATGTAATTAAAAGGAAGCTAAAAACCCTAGACAACTTGGTCTACTAGTGGTTGAAGCGCACTAGATCTGACCATGTTGATCGAAAGATCTTAACAAACTACTTGATGGAGCCCAACAATCTCAATCACCGCTTGGAGAAAACTTTCAATCAAAGGAGATGCTCTGCCAATACATGTAAACCTCTAGTCTTCCTTAAAGCATCATTTGCAAGAACATCAGCTAAACCATTTCCTTCACGAAAGATTATTTGAAACTGTATATTCCCATCTCGAGCAAATCATGGCAAGCAACAATGATTGTTTTTACACCTCTTCACAGCCTCATTATTCTTGGAAAGCACATCAACAGTAGCTTGGCAATTAGTCTGATCTATTAATAAAACTATAGCTATTTGTTTTCTGTCAATATATTGTTAAAATTGAATTTAGAATTTAGGAGTGGAAAATCTATTTCAAAATTTGAGAAATATAGTTGAAAAAGTGGTCTGTTAGGTTTTGATTTTTGAGTTTAATATTTTAAAAATAATTTTAAATGTATGAGCGTAGGGTTTAAATTCACTCATATTTATTCTGTATTAACATATATGCTAATGTGAGAATACCTATAAATATCGCGAAAGTTTTAATCGTTAAACTGTTTATTAATTGTACATATTATCAGAAATTCAAATCATAATATATATTTTTCCATCTTTTAAAAAATATCGTGTATAAAAAAATTTGAAAAAGTTACCAAGAACGTGTTGGTATATTTATATGAAAATTTGTAAAATGAGTTGGGTATATTTTTGGTGAGTAATGTTCAATATCTTTTGCTATTTTAATCTTTCACTCTCTCTATATATATACATATGCTATAATGAAAAAGTAAATATTTGCCACCAAACAAATCAATATTAGTAAAACAACCTTTTGTCTAGTTTTATTACATTTGAAAAGTTGGAAAATCCCTTCCTAATTCACCTAAAAAGGTTGAATTTCAAATGTTAATAGGTTCCTCTAAGTCACAAATAGTTGGGTAGTTAAATTCACGATATCTTTCTTCAATCTCTCTTGAGATTAATACTGTGTTCTGAACATATTATGGCCCATTTGAAATTGTGTAGTCGTGTTGAGCCAATTGCGGAGGAAGTATAATTGCCTATGACTTGTTCTTATTGTCGCCCTTGTGGCAGCCATCGTACTCCTGGGAACATGAATTTAAAAACACTGCATGGGACGGAATGGAAGGGGAAAAAAGTTTATGTAACTTTATACTTGTATTAATTATTATAATAATAGTAATAATGCATTATGAAATTAATATATATGTTTTTGTTGGGGGTAGCATCATTACATATTTACATAATTACATATATGGTTGTGGACCCTAACCTCCATCAACCCACAACCACCCTACAACCCATACTGTGCATGTGGTTTGCCAACTCATTGATCACGACCATTCATTTGGTAGACATATACATATATACATATGCTATATATGTATATATACATATAT